CTTTCTATCTGGGTTTTGCTGACAGTGAGGATGCCAAGACCATAGTCAATGACGTTTAATATAAGCCCTTGATAGAGAAGGAAAAGTAGGCGTTGTTTGCACATACACACACAAAAAGTAGTATTTAAACTTCTTATGTTCTGTGTCGACTCTGAGGACAATGTAGGGTTAACTTTGCATCAGCTGACAGTTTTATTCAGCTTCTGGTGACCTTGTTGCTTCCATTTTTCGTTTGCTTCTAAAACTGCATATAATAATAATAAATAAATTACATGTGGATTCTAGAGCCTCGTTTTAATTGGGGAAAGAAATGGGGAGGGGGGGGGGGGAGAAAGACCGCACACTAAACAAGCGTGTCGTAAAAGGAGACTATTTATGGGTTTGCTATAATCGGGTGTGTTGGGTCGATTGAGCAGATATTGCAGCCTAGGTGTAAATCAAAACACAACGGACATTTTAATGGCGAACGCAGAAGCAGAAGAAGAAAAGGAAGAAGAAGAAGAAGAAGAAGAGGAAGAAGAAGAAGAAGAAGAAGCAGAAGAAGAAGCAGAAGAAGAAGAAGAAGAAGAAGAAGAAGAAGAAGAAGAAGAAGAAGAAGAAGAAGAAGAAGAAGAAGAAGAAGAAGAAGAAGAAGAAGAAGAAGAAGAAGAAGAAGAAGAAAAAGAAGAAGAAGAAGAAGAAGAAGAAGAAGAAGAAGAAGAAGAAGAAGAAGAAGAAGAAGAAGAAGAAGAAGAAGAAGAAGAAGAGAAAGCAGCAGTAGTATAGTAGTAGTAGTAGTAGTAGTAGTAGTAGTAGTAGTAGTAGTAGTAGTAGTAGTAGTAGTAGTAGTAGTAGTAGTAGTAGTAGTAGTAGTAGTAGTAGTGGTGGTGGTGGTGGTGGTACTAGTAGAAGTTGTAGTAGTAGCATCAGTAGTAGTAGTAGCAGCAGCAGCAGTAGTAGTAGTTTGTCAGTGTCGTCTATTTTACGTATGTTACAATGAGACAAGATCTATTAAATAGTGTGGCAGGACACAAGCTAGGTGGTATCAAATCCTTTGAATCTTGAACCCGTCCCCAAGCCGCTCTAAAAGTTATAAATACAGTTCATTAGAGTTTTCAATTGAGTGCTGCTCTTAGATTTACTGGGTTTAAGGTACTTCGGCTCGTCTGAGTTTGCCGACAGTAAAGAGAGCCTAAGAATGCAATAAATAAATAAATAAATAACTTAAACAATGCAGCGCCTTCACAATGGAAGTTGGTTGCTATGTATTTAATTACTTTACGAATATTACGATTCTGATTGGGTTCAATCGGGATCCGTAATTAGCAGGTATGTGTATAATTCCCCCCCCCCCCTAACTCCTGCTTCTTCAATGCATGATATTTTCATTAAAGTTTGTATTTGTCCGTGTTGACCTCACTACTCTTCTATAAAATATATAGATACAGAGGATATATGAAGAAATATATATATATGAAGAATAGCACTCAGGTCTGAAACAGGACTGCAGTCCAGAAGTGGACGAACAACCAGAACTTTCCGCCGGAGTTTACAGCCGGTGAACGTGAAGAAGAGGAAGAAAATGTAAAACACTTCAAGAAAAATCATCATTTCGTGAGACAGAATATTTTATACAATCTATCTAAAATACACTTTTTAAGAGCTTTTTAGAGCGAATACGGCTGACTGACTGACTTTCTACCCCACCAGGACATCACACAAGCGATAAACACCCGATGACACAAAGTGCCACCATGCGGATGAGGATCACCGTTGAGAGGTCATAGAAACCGCGTACAGACAATTGACCATATTGATGGCCTGCCTATATTGCGGCCCCTGGCAAAAGCCAGAGTGGGGCTTCAAATAACAAAAAATTACGTCCTAAGAAGGACGTAAGAAATAGTGGAGCGAATAATGTGTATGGAGTATCAAGTAGACATAAAATAAGTTGAACCTTTGTTTTAATTACACCAGTATTTTTACAGATACAAGATAATATTGGTTAAAAAGAACGAGGACAAATCTTAAATTGAGCGACTTTTTTACCAAACCTCACATTTATATCTTTTTATATTTAACAGCCTTGAAAAAGTCAACAGTTTCACTTATCTAGGGAGCAAGATGTCATCTACAGGAGATATCGCACCAGAAATACCATTTAGAATAGCACTGGCATCTAGTGCCTTCAATAAACTGTCCAACATCTGGAAATCAAAGACACTTAGCAAACACACAAAACTCAAGATCTTCAATTCTTGTGTGATTCCAGTACTAACCTATGAATGCGAGAGCTGGAAATCAACGAAAACTCTAGACACAAAATTAGACAGTTTTGAAAATAAATGCCTTAGAAAAATACTAAATTTCAAATGGTCAGATTTCGGAACCAATACACAAATAAGGCAAGAATCCAGGCAAGAGTATGTGTCTAATTTTATACGAAAACGCCGCTGGAACTATGTCGGCCACGCCCTTAGAATGGATAAATCAAGACTTCCTTACCAAGCCCTCATTTGGACACCACAGGGGAAAAGATCTCGTGAAAGACCAAGGGAAACCCTACGTAGAACTATCATCAGGGAAGGCTCACTCATGGGCCACTCAAACATCCAAGACCTACAACAGATTGCAACGAACCGCCATGCATGGAGAGTCATGACCTCTGCCCTATGTGCCGCACTCGACACAAGAGGAAAGACTAACTAACTAATATTTATACCCGGTCACGTATAATAATATTTCTAATTTATGTACTCACGGTCGACTGTAATTCTAGAGAAGGCAGCGACGTACTGAACTATTAACCAGTCATCTCCTTGTGAGATCCAATTGTTCGTTATTTTGCCAGGGGCCACAGTATTGCCCAACCATAAATAGGGCCCAATGGCTTAACGCGGTCTCCGGAACATCACCTCATGTGATCCTCATCCACATGGTGGCACTTTGTGTCATCAGGTGTTTATCGCTTGTGTAATGTCATAGTGGGGTAAAATCAACAACTACTACGTACTCAACTTGCATCCTTACGTTTTTAAACTTTAATTATCAGTTCAAACTGGGATAATATATCAGTTAAAATAGAAGAGACACGTGTAGAATTAAGCGAGTAATTGTGTAGATATCTTTACATCTACGTCCTTGTTTCTTTAGTTTGTGGAGAAATTAATTATTAGTTACAATTCTTCTTATTCTCTTCCACCATTTACCTCAGCGAGGTGAGGTGAGGTGAGGTGAGGGGGGGGGGGAGAGAGGAGGGAGACGAAAACTTTATTTGTTCCCTTTTCCCAGTGCATTGTACAAGTTGGTGTTAATTTCTGTTATGTTGCTCCAGATGGTGTCACCCCATATCTTGCCTGGTCTTCCCCTTACTCTGTGTTCATTATATTTCTTTAGCGTGGCACACTGCGGCACTTGGTACCAGGGAATTCTTGTCAAGTCCTTGTCTTCTTCTGATTTCTTTATTCCTGATTTGATCTCTTCTTGTCCCACCGGCAGCTCTCCTAAGACATCTCATCTCTGATGTTACGATCACGAGCAGGCAGACTGACTGACTGATTCTGCACCACTTAGTAGTGAACTGTTGTATGACAAGCTAGACGCTGTGGAAGCCCTTTGGGAGCGAGTGAACAGTGCGGAAGCGCAAACAGATCGTTACGGTCTGAGGAGAATGGCGCTGCGATGAGTTGCCAGAGGATCTGGCTGATGTTCAACACTCAAGGGAAAAGCGAGACGGATAAACAATAAGACATTTATGCGTTGTGAGTTATGTGTTATGAGTTAGATTATCTCCACAGCACTTCGGACACATCCATAGGCGCTCAGATTCCCCTTTAAACATATTCATCAGCGTCGCGCGGTTAGTAGTGCCAGTCCTATGTTGGTTAACAATACTTCGTGTGCGTTCGGTGTGCTTCTCATGCTTGGCTGTGTCGATCTTTACTCCCAATTCTCGTATTGTTAGCAGTGATGTGGACACGATGCTTCCAAAATCCCCAGAACGTCCTACCTCTATAAGGGCAATGACAATGTCTGCGTGATCCACGAGTCGGCCATCTTCAATTAATGCAGCATCCGCTAGTCTATCAGGTCTTTCATTACCAACAACGCCTGCATCCATGGGACGAATATGAAGGTAACTGCAAACACATTAGAATTTTGCAATTGCTCAAACCACTGTCTGTGTAACCAGCCTGCCTTGACCCGCCGGATCATGCTTGAAGAATCACTCAGCACACACACACGAGGGAAACGTCCTGTGATTCTAGCCACACGAAAGCCTGTGTCACCGCCATCACCTCCATCGTCATGCTGCTGGTGGTCATGAAGAAGGCACCGCTGGCTTCTTGAACTGTTCTGCATGAAGAGAAAGCTGTAAATGCCCATGCACTCTTATGTTCTCGTATAACGGACTCGTCTGTGAAGATGACATCTGCCTCATCTGACGTGTCACTATAAGCGCGTATACCTAGGCATTGACAGCAGCTGGATTCTGCTCCCGACAACTACTATCGAGCGTCACGACACAGAAGAATGTGTTCATTCCTCACCTGGATGAATATTTGTAAGGCTGCAAACCTGCATTATGTCATCCTCTGCCCTACCCAGCCATGATTTGTCCCCTTTTAACCCTATTGCCTCTTTTCTCGAAGAACATGTGGTGCAAAAGGTGCTTCGGATCTGAGCTTATCTTGAGGTATGAACGAGCCCTCCATCCAGATCTTGATCCTGTAGTTCATAGTAGGGAAGTCAAGAAGGTACCTCATTGCTATATAAGGGGTGTCTCCAGTGCACCACAGACAGTTAACTGGTGCAATCGGAATTCGAACTCTTTGTTTGCTGCTGAAGATGGGGACGGAGTGCTTATGGGAGTGTCTCGAGTGCTATGATGTCGTTCCTTAATTCAATATTCTGTTGCTACGATCTTGCGCTCAATGGTTGTAGTAAGGGACCATGTTTGTTACACTCGGCCATAAATTAGCACTCAATGACAGTATTTAGAGAGCTCCAAAACAAACAAAATGGCGACGTCTCTGTCGGAAGGAGAGTTTCATCGTATGCAGGTAGGCGTATATTGCTTTTTTTCTAAGTAAAACACACACACCGTTCTTCAGGGAAGATGTGACAGTAAAAAAGCATTTCATACACGTTTCTGAGTTGTTTAAAGAAATAACTGTCTATACGATGGTCTGCCTAATGGAAAGGTAGTAATTTTGAGGAAGATGTTAATAATTATTTAAATAAATGTCAACTGACCAACGAATTAATCTTGTTCATCATTCAGCATGCATTATCATTGTGACGAACTTGTCAACAACATTAACAGACTACTAGTAGCCACTAATACTAATAAAAATATCTAATATAAAGAGGTGGACCAATATAAGTATAATTATTATTATCGAGATGAAATAAAATAAAGAATAAAGGCACCAGCATTGTGAATGGCTCTCCTCCGAACTCCCGCAGTATTGCGGCCTGAAATATCCGTTCGGGGCGCAGTCCAATTAAAAATGTGCCGGCTCCGTGTAACGAAACAAATGCTCTAACAGGGTCTCAGCGGTATGTTACTTGCGGACCTGTTTCTAATTGTGTCTGATTACCTGACAATTCTAAGAGACACACGCAACACTGCAGATGATAGTAGCAGCGACCGTTGACCCTTTCCACTGTCGAACTTTCTGCCGACGAACAAATCGCGGCAAATCTAGGATCGGCTCGAAAAAACGAAACAAATGCTCTAACAGGGTCTCAGCGATATGTTACTCGCTGACCTGTTTCTGTGACTATGCCTCACCGCCGAGGGTATCCCCCGCGCCGCTACGCGCGGCGCGGATAGGGGCTAAACAAGATGGCTGGGACTCACGAGCGGCAGCTACCGCATCTCCTGCAACTTCCTCTAATTATTTGCTCATGAGTCCCAGGCACTTAGTTTAGACCCGCGTAGCGGCGCGGGGGATATGCTCGGCGATGAGTTTAATTGCGTTTTGCGCATGCCGACAAGTCTGACATCTACCGCTGCTAAATCCTCAATCGGAAGAACAGTATTGCTAATCTGCGTGGGAGCCTGTGGTCTACCCGCCATATCGCTTTCATCGTCTGTAATGTCTCGAAATTGTCAACAGTCGCTTTTATCGTCTGCTAGTATCGTCTGCAGAAAACACTCGACATTGTCACCGGTCGCTTTTATCGTCTTCTACTATCATCTGCAATGTTGCGTCTCATGACATTGTAAGTTACTCCTAGTTTTGCCGCAATTTGTTCCTAGGCGGGAACTCTGACAAGTCCGTATTTTTAATTGGACTGCACCCCGAACGGATATTTCAGGCCGCAATACTGCGGGGGTAGAAGTTCGGAGGAGAGCCTTGTGAATTGTGTTTATTGGCTATTGCTAAAGTTATTTAGCAGCGCCACTGTTCATTCCACAGTGACAACAAAATAAATAATAAATACCATCCGACACACACATAAATTTACATCATACTGAGACTGCATTTGTTAAATGAGTTATCGCTTTGTGAAATGAATACATCAGCAGCAATTTTATAAAAGTGTTTTTTAAAGCTGTGAAAATATATGAAACAGTTGGAAAATCACAAAGTATACACCAGCTTTACAACAAAACAGGATGCAATAAGCAAAAAATGTTTTTTGATTATTTAGTGAGAAAAAATACTTTTTGGGGCTCTCCTCCAAACTTCTACCCCGGCATTATAGCAGCCAGACAAATACCATAACAGGGCCTCAGTCCTATTAAAAATGTGGACTTTTCGGACTTCCTGCCAAGGAACAAATCACGGCAAAACTAGGACGGCTCCTAAGAACGAAACAAATGCTCTAACAGGGTCTCAGCGATATGTTAATATGTTAATTGCGGACCTGTTTCTGCAACTATGCCACACCGCGAACAGTATCCCCCGTGCGGCGCGGATGGGGGGCTAAACTAGATGGCTGGGACTCACGAGCAGCAGTTACCGCATCTCCTGCAACTTCCTCCAGTTCATTTGCTAGTGAGTCCCAGGCATCTAGCTTAGATCCCCATCCGCGCCGCACAGTGTCACGGGGGATACGCTGGGCGGTGAGTTTAATCAGAAGAACACTATCACTAATGTGTGTCTGAGCACATGGTCTCCCTGCCATCTCCATATTATCATCTGTAATGTTGCGTGTCTCGAAATTGTCAATTGTCGCTAGTTTCGTCTGCTAGTATTGCCTGCTAGTATTGTTTGCAGAAACGCTCAAAATTGTCAACGGTCACTATTATCATCTGCATTGTTGCTTCTCTTTAAATTGTCAAGTAATCCTAGTTTTGTCGGGATGTGTTCGTCGCAGGAAGTTCGCATTTTACATACGACTGAGGCCCTGTTAGGGTATTTGTTTGGCCAGGGTAGAAGTTGGAGGAGAGCTTTTTTTGGTTTTAAATTAACAAAAATAAAAAAATTAGTTATAGTTAGTCATTAATTAATCATTATCTCTCTCTGTACCAGTTTTTTCTCCCTAGAGTTACCAGTACTTAACAAACAGTGTATAGTAAAAGTGCACAACACAAAGTGTTTGTTATAGTAGCGCTGACAAAAAGATGCCTGAAAAGGTGCCGGTACTGCACACCACCAAAAAAGAATGCCCTGATTTTATTTAGTTAAGCAGGCAAATTCTTGGTGCTACTTTATACGAAGCAAACAGAAGGGCCCATTCCAGGTCCAGGACCTCTTCCTACCCTGACGCAGCGAGCTATTCCAGAAGTAGAGAAAAAAAGAAGATACTTTGTACGTTTTTTTTTTAGTTAAAAAAAATGTTATAACTGTTATTGTCATTAACTAGTTATGCTTGCTCTTTCTGTACCGTTGCTACAATTTATTGTAAACTATTCTGCCCCACTTAAAATATTTTGGCCAAACAAGATCACAGATAAACTAAGAAGGAAAACAAAATGTTAATCGCTGGTAAACATTATCAAAGGAGGAAGATAGAGAATGGCTTGGATGTGTTTGCAGAATTCCCTGTGATCAGGGCTTTTTCAAGTGGTGTGCAACAGTATGCAGTACTGGGCACCTTTAAAAAAAAAAAACCATAATTCTTTCAACACTAGGGTAATAGACTCTTTGTGGTGAGTACACCACATTTTTTTACACACTTTATGGTACCTTTTTTCTGGGGGGGGGGGGGGGGAGAAGGATTGCTTGTAAAATGATATTTTGACAAGGACAGCTCTCCGGATGATGACAGAAGGAAAACGAAGATGTGGACAACCTAAGAAAACCAGGAGATAGATAATATTCTAGCTCTTTCAGATATGCTTTATAGCAGTTAATGTGTGCATGGATCTAAAATGACTAAAGAGGGTGCAGCTGGACATTATGAGACACAGTAAGTTAAACGTAGGGGGGGGGGGATCTAAGTGGTCAACTGGTCAAGTAATTAGCCTCGTGCTGTGAAGGTCATATTTTCATTTTACAGCTGCTTTGTTTGGTTCAGGAGTGCAATTTTTACAGAGCTTTCTGAGGATTGTCACCAGAGCCCTGGTGTTCATGCTGTGTGTGACGTTCTGTGCAGGTGGCCAACCATTGTGGATTTGAACACAAAAGCTTCGGGTTAGCAGGCAAATGACTGGCCACTATGCTACCAAGGCTGCTTGCTGGTCAACAGAACCAGAAGTGACATTAAATTAAATGTAACTAGCTTAACCGGAAGACATTTTATTGAGGTTTTTTGAAACTACCTAATCATAGTTATTATTAGGGCTTTTATTCTGGAAAAACAAAAGGTGCCAATACCCGTAACAAAGTATATTTTACAAGTTGCTGCTTCTGCCTACAAAGTATTAATTACATTAGTGGTGAAAACATAATAACTAAAAGATGTGTATACTATTGCATCTGGCCATATAGAATTCCCTGATTATGATGCCTTGTTCTATTTAGATTGACTTGTAATAATCACTGATGTTACATTCACATTGTGGTTGTTTTGAAGAGATGCTGTTTGACAAATCTTTTTGGCTTAGAGGATAGTGAATGGTTTTCATAATTCGCCAAATGTCCATCTACTAGGTTTTAGTTCCTATGGTTCATGGTTTTTCTTTTCTTTTAAATGGGCCATTCTCATGTCTTTTAGACAAGAATGCAAGAGACTCACTGTGGAAAATCCTGGGGCCTCACCACATGTTGTTCATCCATCACAAGTAATGAGGACCGTTCTTTTTCTCATCCATGAAGTTGATTGTTTGTGAGTCCTGAGGCAACTCTTAACCCTTTTAGCACGGGAAGTTTTTCAGAGGTCTAGCCAAAGACACGGAGCATTTTTTCAGTGAATTTGGTTATTACTTTATTTAATTTTTTTTGACAGATTTCTGTTATTCTGACCCCCATGAAATAATATAACTATTTGAATGATATAGATTGAATTTCATGATTTTCACAATATCGTAAAAATTAATTGATGTATATGCAAATTATCTCATTTGCATACCTAAAAATAGAAAATTTGAATTTGAATTTTCAACTTCAATGCTTGAAACATAAAACTAAAAACAAAAATTTTTTTTATTTGAAATCTTTTTATTGATCTTTGGCCTTTTTGCAAATGTTGTAAGCAATTCAGTAGTCAAAAACAGGTATATATATAAAACAGCAATAATATCTTTAGGTGACATGTGTTTTTCACCATCAGTCAGCAAAACGAATACCCACCACAACAATGGAAAGATGGTGTAATCTTCAAATTACCTAAAAAAGGTGATTTATCCGATTGTAACAACTGGAGAGGCATCACCCTGCTTTCGATACCAGGGAAACTATTTTGTAGTATGCTACTAGAAAGATTGAAAAAATCCATAGATGAAAGATTAAGGGAAGAACAAGCCGGTTTTAGATCCAAGCGGTCATGCATAGACCACATCTTTACTCTTAGAATAATTGTTGAAGATTCTACAGAATTCCAGTCGAAATTATTAATCAACTTTGTCGACTTCCAAAAAGCCTTCGACAGTATCCATCGTCCAACACTCTGGAAATTGCTTAACATCTATGGTTTCCCCATCAAATATTTCAACATCATAAAATCTTTTTATAATGAAACACGATGCTGTGTAAGAACTGATTCCGGAAATTCTGACTGGTTCCCGGTGGAAACAGGAGTGTTGCAAGGCTGTGTCCTATCGTCGATGCTTTTTGGTATAGCAATCGACTGGGTCATGCGCAAGTGCATAAATAACGCAAATTTAGGCATTACATGGGTTGACAAAATTCTGGAAGACCTAGACTTCGCCGACGACATAGCACTCCTGAGTTCAGAACACACAGACGCCCAAGAAAAAATCAACCGACTCCAGAATTTCTCAGAACAAATTGGACTCCAAATTAACACCGCAAAAACAAAAATTCTAGACCTTACCAACAATTCAGTTGATATCACGCTGAACAACAACAGCCTTGAAAAAGTCAACAGTTTCACTTATCTAGGGAGCAAGATGTCATCTACAGGAGATACCGCACCAGAAATACCATTTAGAATAGCACTGGCATCTAGTGCCTTCAATAAACTGTCCAACATCTGGAAATCAAAGACACTTAGCAAACACACAAAACTCAAGATCTTCAATTCTTGTGTGATTCCAGTACTAACCTATGGATGCGAGAGCTGGAAATCAACGAAAACTCTAGACACAAAATTAGACAGTTTTGAAAATAAATGCCTTAGAAGAATACTAAATTTCAAATGGTGAGATTTCCGAACCATTACACAAATAAGGCAAGAATCCAGGCAAGAGTATGTGTCTAATTTTACACGAAAACGCCGCTGGAACTATGTCGGCCACGCCCTTAGAATGGATAAATCAAGACTTCCTTACCAAGCCCTCATTTGGACACCACAGGGGCAAAGATCTTGTGGAAGACCAAGGGAAACCCAACGTAGAACTATCATCAGGGAAGGCTCACTCATGGGCCACTCAAACATTCAAGACCTACAACAGATTGCAACGAACCGCCATGCATGGAGAGTCATGACCTCTGCCCTATGTGCCGCACTCGACACAAGAGGAAAGACTAACTAAGTCAGCACAAGAAATGGATGTGCCAGAGTGTCAACACCTTCGGGAGGATATACCCTGAGCCATGGTTGGGCTGTGACTGAACACAGCAGCGTCCCCATAATTAGTGTCATCACTTGATTCAAATGTTTTATCAACATCAAGTTTAGGGGCAGAAACATACGAGTCAGACATACTTTTAGCGGTTCAGGTCACTATCTAAAAAATTCAACAAAAATTTTCACTTTGATACCAAACACTCGAAAGTCGCCATGTGTAAAGCTAATACCGCAGTTAATATAAATGAATCACTTTCAGTGTTTCAAAATAGGAGATTTCTGAGCGGTTCGAGGCGAAACACGATCGGGCCGATCATCGGCCGTTCCGTGTTTTTGGCCAGACATCCGCCGGCCGATAATCGGCCCGTCCGTGCTAATAGAGTTAAGCACAGCATTGGCCCCTGAAGGATGTAAGTTGATGAGGGCAGGAACAGTGTAGGTAAAGGGCCTGTTATACGGGCCTTCTATCCCACCTGTGCTATTTAGCTACTCTTTTTCTGGATTCTTCGCAGGTCATGGCACCTGTTCCCAGGATTACAGCTTGTGCACTGCAGCCGACCTTCCTTGTGGAGATGGCTCACAGTTATTATTTATTTCTCCACTGTTTAAAACTTTCTCATCTCGGAAACTAATTTTTTTGGTTGTGTCGTCACAGCAAATTGAAAAAATAAAAGCAGAATGCATAGTACCAGTTAAGAGGGACTTGGATCAACTAGCACAAAGATGGGCACAGGATATATTATTGACACCTTGGGTAGGAAAGTGCATGAGGTTTGAGACATAGTTTCTTTCAGGTATATTGTGGTAAGAGTGATGTTCTAAAACTGATAAATACATGATTATAATTAGGATACTATATTCCACTGAGTTTTGCGTGCAACAAATGTTACAAATACCATGTTTGTTTGTTTTTGTGTTAACTCCAGCTTCAGCTTATAGAGCTGCGGACAGTGAACTATGAACTGGAAGCCAAAAACAAGAAGTTGGAAAGGGGTAATGCATCACTTTCTTATTTCTAATGTTTCTGTTAGTTTATTCTCATAAAGAAATCTGAATTTCATGTTTGTTTTTGTAGACTTTATGAAGTAAATACTTTTCTGTGAAACTTCATAGTTTTTTTCTCAGTTTTCAAGGAGACTTCTTATCAGTGCTGCTATTTTTTTGCCCCTAGAATAGAAGTTGCTGGTAGTTTCTAAAAATGTGTGGTACTCAAAACAAAGTCTCAACAAAGGTGCCAAGTGTGTCTGTTGCAGTAGTATTTAAAAAAAAAGTTGCTTGAACTGCATACCGTTGTGCACTACCAGAAAAAAAAAACCTGGTGCTGTCAAAGATCTTTGCATATTCTACAAATATGTATATGCTTTGCTGTATAATTATATGTACTGTGGCCATAATTAAGGTCCGTATTGAGATGGATTTTTTTCAGAATTGACCTTAGCTCCCAGGTTGACCCAGCCTAAAGTAGGGGCAAACGGAAAAGAAGAAGAAGTAAAAACATACAGTAAAATATGCCATGAAATGTGTGATATAATGTTACTGTTTGTAACCTTTTTTTTTTCCATTTACGACAGAGAGACATTGTTTTAAATCTAATTTATTCGCATTGTGACCACTCTCTGAGTGCAGAAATGAGCACCAGGCCCATAAATAGATAAATCTATTACAAATAGCTTTCCAAGTTCAGAAATGCAGTAACATTTCCTAATGTTTAAAGATGTTAACAGTAACATAATTGAATATATAATTTACACTTTAGCAATTCCAATGTTAAATTAATGTAATAATAATGTCATTAAATGTATAATTGACACTGCAAACAAACTATCATCCATTGAGAATTAATTAGCAGATTAGCTAGCATCCTTAGAATGTAAAATACTCATTAACATCAGTGACTTAATAGTTAACATTCTAACATATATCTAAATGTAGAAGTGCAGTAACAGACACATCATTAGATATATAATTTGTATTGTAACATATTTCTGATTGTAGAAGTGCAGTAACAGACACATCATTAGATATATAATTTGCATTGTAACATATTTCTGATTGCAGAAATGCAGTGACAGACACATCATTAAATATATAATTTGCATTGCAACATATTTCTGATTGTAGAAGTGCTGTGACAGACACATCAGGAGATATATAATTTACACTTTTACACAAATCTGAATGTAGAAGTGCAGTGCCAGACACATTATTAGTTATATAATTTACATTGTAACACATTTCTGTATAATTTACACATTTTGTTCTGTGTTCAGATTTGTCAGAGATCCAGGAGAAGCATGAGTTGCTGCATAGAGAGCTGGGTAAAGCTAAACAGGTGGGACATATGTTTTTCTGTATTTTATTTTAATGTGATTTTGTATGGGATATACATGCCTAGGTATTTTCTAAACCCTCAATGAAAGCAAATTGGATGAAGAAATTAATCTCTGATGCTGTTAAGCATACCATGTATTAGGACAGCTAGAGACCCGCAACCATTCTTCCCACAGGCATTAGACAATTTCAGTCATCACAAAGAAACATTTCTCTTAAAAAGCATATTCATTCTCATCCTATGCTACCAGTGCCAGACATGGTCACTCAAAAACAAGCCAGAAAAGAAAATTAATAACCATGGAAATTAGATGTCTGAGAAAGTTTGCCGGAGTGAGCCTAAAAGATAGTCCGGAATGAAATCATAAGAGAAAAAGTCTAAAACTAATCCTAAATTACATACAAAGACAGCAAATTAATGGTTTGCCCTCTTAAAGAAAATGCCTTGTGACACCATACCATGAAAGGCATTCATCAAAAGAGGAGAGGGATATAGAGCAAGAGGTAGACCAAGAATGGAAAGATAACATCAGAGAAACTCAACAATACAACTGTGGTTGAGGCAGCCAGAAGAATAAGAAGACTGGATTATGAAGACAGCAACTGCTAATGCAGAAATGGAATTCATTGTACGACTACAAAACAATGCTAGGATCTGGACTTCACTGATGATATTCTCCTCTGTCCCCCTCACAGAGTCAGATGCTAGACTAGTTACATATGCTTGACACAAGATCACAACAACTAGGTCTCAAAATCCATTATGAAAAAAACAAAGATAATAAGAATAAATCAGGAAACTAGTAATGTGGTTTCTCTTAATGGTATTCCACGCCAAGATGTGGACATACACCTATTAGGGCAGTAGTGTAGAAAACAAGGGAGGAACTGATAGAGATTTTTTAAATATGAATACGGAAGGCAAGAGAAGCTTTGATTGCACTAGTAAATTTGTGGAGGTCAAAGGAAATTAAAACTAATACTGAACATAAAATCTTTAGTTCTAATGTCAAATCAGTACTGTTGTATAGAGCTGAAATATGGAGAACAACTAAAACAATTATGTCTAATAAACTGCAAAGATCTAAACAAGTTGCAGTGGACCAAGAGGTGAAGAAAAGATGCTTACATTGGATAGGACACACAGTATAACTAGAATGTCTACACAGTATAACTGCACTGGAACCCACAGGGGCACAGAAAAAAGGCAGACCAAAAAACACACGGAGAAGGGAACTAGAGAGGGAAGTTGAAAAGATGGGTAGGACATTGGGTGAGCTGCATGCAATAGTGAAGGGTATAAGGACTTGGCGTGAGTTGGTTGAGGGCCTGTGCTCCATTGGGTTTTGGAAGGCAGAAGAAGAAGAAGATGCTGCTACACAGATTTGAAAAATAAAAACAAAACAATTAGATTCATCCAACACTGTGATTTGAACCATGAGATCCACCATGTTTATATGTACATAAGCACTGTCCTACAAGGGGGATTCAAATGAAAACCTTAAAAGAGTGATAGAAATTTAAACAGAGCAATATTCCTCTTTGGTGCATGTCAAAACTTTAAACTGTCATTATGATGTCATCATGTTCATCTGCACTGTGATGTCACATGCTTAAAATCCTAGACTTCCCTAACAACAGAATTGACAGCTCAAAAGACAGTGGCATAGCTATTGTAATTTCTATCATACTCTTAAGGTTTTCATTTAGAGCCTCCTTATACCAGGCCTTTAAATCACCCAACCATTGTTTAAATACCTAGAATTTCACATAATAATGGGGGAAGGGAAAGGGTGTCATGGGCCTCCGCCATACTTGAACACATGATCACCTGACTGGCAGGAAAACATGTTAGTCCCACACAACAGCAGCTCCACAGTATACAAAAACTTGATGTTTTTAACCCTTGGAGACGGAGCCTTTTTGGAGTTTCGGTGCCAAGAAGACAAAGCCTTCAAGAGGGGATTCTCATAGTTTATACACACAAAATTATTAAAAAATAAAGCGTTTAATTAACATATACAAAACTATATATTTATTCCTGTAGAAAATTGAATGAACTAACAAAGTTTATGAATCAAATTGAAATCTCAACATTAATTCAGATTAACTATTCTGATTTATGCAAGCATTTTTTTTAAAAACTTGGGAACAAACATAACTAACCTGAAACATTTCAGTGAATTTTGTTAAAATGGATGAAGCTCAAATACGTCCTAACACCTGTATTTTGGGAAGTAAGGTCCTTAGAGGCCTTTCAGACAGGTCTGGCACATAGTTCTACTCATTTTCCTGCCTCCAGCTATGTTTTGGTTGCTATGATGCAACAGTCCTTTTTGCCATTTGTGGGCACAGATAACCCCAGAAAAAAAAATCTATGTAAAATTACAGAACATATCAAACTTTCTCGAAAGCCATCAATGAACAGCCCACATATGCAAGAAGCAGTTTGATTGGCTGATTCAAAAACCTGCCAGCTCATATCAAGGCTTCTATTATATAGGGCCGACTGATCGGCCCGGTCGTCCTTTTGGCTACTTTGTGTTGGGCCTATATTTTGGCCTTGTCGTCTTCAAAGGGTTATAAGTGATGTCAAGTGGCACTGAAAGTCATGTCCCTGCACAAAATTCTGCTTCTTGTATCTAAAAATGTAAACTGCAACACACTGTAAATGATACTAATTAAAAAAAAAAAAAAAGATATAGCTCTTGCTTTTCTCATCTTTTTCTAGCTAGTATTCATTTCCTTTATTCACACATGTCTCAGCTTCAGACATGTGGATTTTTTTTTTGGAAAGACCTAATTTAAGGGATATTGTGTGTTCTTGTTTGTAAATATAACATTGTCTTTTTATGTCATGTATTGATGTAGGCTTTCTAGCCACAATGTTCACTTGTCATTTGTAATTCTTTTTATTTGGTTTGATATCTCGGCATGAAACTGTAAATGCCACTCTTCATATATCATCATCAAGTGCCTTGCCAGCGTTTCATGCATTTCCAAAGATCTTTTTTCTGTGCCCCTGTGGGTTCCAGTGCAGTTATACTGTGTAGACATTCTAGTTATACTGTGTGTCATTTCTCTGGTTCGCCCTCTGCCTGGTATTCTGGATCAGTTCCACTGATGATATTCCTCTATGCCACTGTCTTAAGCCATCCACTATCATTTCTCTGGTTCGCCCTCTGCCTGTTCTACTAGTGATCTTTCTACTAGTGATCTTTCCATCTTTTCAACTTCCCTTCTCTGTGTGTTTTTTATTCTGCCTTTTTTCTGTGCTCCTGTGGGTTCCAGTGTAGTTATACTGTGTAGACATTCTAGTTATACTGTGTGTCATTTCTCTGGTTCGCCCTCTGCCTGGTATTCGGAATCAGTTCCACTGATGATATTCCTCTATGCCACTGTCTTAAGCCATCCACTATCATTTCTCTGGTTCACCCTCTGCCTGTTCTACTAGTGATCTTTCCAGTCGTCACAATATGGTCTCCTGTTCTCATCACATAACCAAAGAACTTTGTCTCCTTCTGATTGTTGTATATAATATTCTACTTTTATAAGCCATTTCCAGGCAATCATTGTTATTCTTCACATATATGGTAATTTGTTTAATTTTCACTTTTTGGGTTACAGGCAATCAATAAAAGCAAGAAGGCTAAGGTAAGCTGTTTGAACTTTCTAGGTCCCAAACAGCGCACCATGTGAACTGGATATTACTCACTTGCACCAGTCAACATGTTTTGTGTGTTTTTACATCTGTAATTAAGGTAATTAGTTGCCTATCCCTTACAGGAGGTTGCACAACCAGCCCCAGAATTTTTTTTTAAAAACTGTTGTGGTTTTTCTAGGCAGATTTATTGTTCAGTAGTTCGCCATTGCTTTCTGAATGTTAGGCTCATGATATCACTGTTGAAACCAATGCTAGGTGGTCTGCTGCCAAACTGCATATAGCCGGGATCAAAACTAGCACCTTGGCATTACAAAACGCGTTCCCAATGCTGAAGCCGCAGTTGCTGACAAAATGAGGTTTGGCCACGACTGGTTGTTTTTTTTCAGTTTATGACACATTTTTTCACGTACTAGGCAAAGTACTGAAAATTAGGTACAGGGCTAAAGCGGCAGATTAGGAAATAACTGAAAATCGGTACAGTGGTTGGTAGGGTTAGTCAGTCCAACAACACAAGTCAGCCACAGTGTATTATGTATTTAGACTCTTTGGATGCAGAATGCCTATGCTGTTGTTACCATCATTATTGATTCAGTCAGGCATCAGCAATGATCTTGTGGGACTGAAAGAATAAAGAAGTAAAGAGTTATATTGTTATCTCTGTGGTTAAGTCGTTGAGCCACTTGCTTTGTGCTCCGAAGGTCATGGGTTCATTTTACGGACTGTGTCATACGAATCATAAAGGCGCATTTTAAGAGATCCCTAGAATTTGTTACTGGAGCTATAGAGTTTGTGCTTTGTGTGGCGCTCTTGGTAAGTGGCCTACTGGATCAAATCTGGTTCAGTGGAGTGAATCCTCTTGAATTGAAACCTATTTTTTAACCTTCATATAAGTATTTACGTTTAAGAAAAGCCTGGGCTTAGATTATTTAGTCAAGAATGATTTTATTTTAATGCGGGTATCACAGCAGTGTGGCGTCCATGGCCTAGGCATTGCGAGTCTGACTCTTAATGCCAGGGTACCGCGATCGAAACCCACTGCTGACTGCAGGGATTTTTATCATGGTATTGGGCGTCGCAGGTCGACCCAGCCTAAAATGGGTACCAGGATGGATGTCCTGGGGAAGTAAAGACGGCCGGTGTAATGCTGACCACATTACCCAGCTAGTGCCGATTGGTCTGTAAAAATAGTGCTCTTCCCATATGCCCGATGCGCCCACACGGCAGTGCCGCAGTTTGCTTTAACTTGCGTAGTAAGAAACTTGGAACAGTGCACAAGGTTTATAGCACTGATAAGGATCCACATGTGCATATAATATATTCACACTTGCTTTACATTTTCATTTGTGGGTTGGCTTTTTAATTTTGAAATTTATCTCAGAAAGTTGTTTATTTAACTCTTTTGGTCCCATGTAGTTGCTATTGAAAATAATTATGTTCGAAGTCGTAGTTATTTTAAATTATTTAAAGTTGCATCTGAAGGAGATTACATAAAAATTTTACTAAACACTTAGTGCACATAACAGTATTGTTAGGATCATCATCATTATTAGGTGCCTTGCCGACTGGCATTGGTGAGCATGCCTCTCCACAATCTGCGATCTCCCGCAGCATGTATCAGTTCATGTGCTGACACACCTCCATGCCATGCAACAAGACTGTCGAGAATCTTCTATTGTTGTCTTCCCCTGTCCCTCCTTGCACAGATCTTTCCAGTGGTCACAACATGTTCCATTTACCCCCTACTCATAACATGGCTGAAAAATGATGACTGTCACCTTCTGATGTCTGTGATAAGTTGTCTTGTCTTCGGGCTCCCGCCTCTTTCAAAACCTCTTGGTTATTAGGATTGGTTAATTTAATAACAAGATGAGACACAGATTGAAGAAGAAACTTTTCTTGTGAGGAGTTACCAAAAGACATGGTGTGTTGCTTGGGACAGAATGGGTAATGCTTTGTAGATTATAAACTTTGGAATTACAGTCACAGGTCTGTAATTCTTAGTGAACTGGCAGAGTAGCAGTGTAAACTGATATGCTGACAGAGTCACTGCAGTAGAAAGGATTGACGTGACAGAAGAATGGGAAACCAGAAATTAGCCAATTTATTCAGTGTCTACCAAGAAGAAGAAAAACACTGACACCCTACATGATCTGAGTATCGAGCATAATTGGCACATAAACATCATCTCATCCCGAAAGCTGAGGTATTTTGGCCATGTTTAACATCATGGTGGCCCAAAGAGACCATTAATGAAAGGTACAGTTTCTGGAAAATGAGGCAGAGGTAGACCTCCACCAATGTGGGTTCAAGACATTGAAGATGCATTGGCTAGAAAAGCACATAGTGCTGGGGAAGAGGAGACTATCAGGTGTGCTGTGACGAGTGCAACGTACTGTAAAGGACCCGCTGATTGATAATGAGGATTCATTCTTTGAAGTAATCCATAAATGTATGACGGTTGATTGTCTCAAGTAATCCATAAATATATGGTGAGATGCCTAAAACTGAAAAAATGAACTTGGGCAGTGGTATCTTCTACTTATTTATCTGAACTCTTTCTGTCCCAGTAGCTTAGAAGAACGTTTCCAGTGATGGAAATGGCTAATGCAAACAAATTATGAGTACGTTAATTTTTAATAAGGTTAAATATGCACTCAAGGCTGGAAACTAGGAAAGTTGAATTTATTTATTAGGATCTTACAAAATGTACATGTTTTAAGAACACATGAACTGATGGTCAGGTTTCAATTCAGAGACTGGCACAAGACTCTTACCATATAATGGACAGATCAGAGCAAGTCATTATTGTTTGCCTTAGAGCAGGGCACATTCGGCTTCACATCCACATATACACACAATTAAAAATTGGTGAATCAGCCATGTGCACATGTGGACTGGCATTTGCGACATCAGATCACATCTTTCAAGACTGTCCCAAATACATTTTCAGGCAAAACTTCTGGCCTGGAGACACAGTGGTGGAAACCAAACTTTATGGGCCACTAAGTGAATTACAAAGAGAGTGAAGTTCATACTAGAGATAACAATGCAGATATAGATAATTTATTTTAAGCGAATGAAACAAGTGGGAACACATCAGTTACACACATCACGTGCTGATACTGAAACAGTTATATCTAACAGCACACTTTGCTCATGAGTCCACTTGGTGGAAATATGCAGAACTAACTTTTCAAATACAGATATTCATTGGCATTTGTTAGGTTTATATTTAATGTCTGCAACATGTTCTCCCCAGGATGCGGAAGCCCTTATCCAGGAAACAGATTCCTTACAGAGGAAGCTTCAGAGTCAGGAGGAGGAGTTTCGGCTTCAGAACCAAACACTAATGGCAGAGCTAGCATTGGTGAGTGTTTTTCTTCATGTCTGTTTCCAGATGTGTGATGTCTATTTTACTAAACCACATTTGCTGTTAGATGCAATAGGATCTTATGCTTATAATTCATTCTAGGGACATATGTATTGCCCAAGATATCAGATGTCACTTACCTCCATTCTTCTCTCTGGTTGGCCTTCTGTTTCAAGTTAGTGATACCAAAGTGCTTGTAGGTCTGTCTGGATATTACCACTCCATCATCTTCTTGATCTGCCTCGTGGTTTGCGACCATTCAACTCCCTTGTTTACACAGTTTTTACCTCTCTGTCATCTAACACTCTCTCAGTATGTCCCAGCAATTTCAGGCTATTAACCCTCATGATGGAAAACATCATGTGCTATAAAATTAATAATCAAGCAGGCCAGTACCAGTCCATTAAAAGAAATATAAAAAGGGTGTGCAGCATATTCAGACATGTTCCCCCCATATAATGAAATTATGAAAATTTAAAAGTAAAAGTAAAGTAAAGTAAAGATCCCTTTTCATGCCTTAGGCGCATCGGGCATATGGGAAAGAGCACCCATATTTTTACAGACCAATCGGCACTTGGTGGGTAATGTGGTCAGCATTACGCCAGCCTTCTTTACTTCCCCAGGACAGCCCATCCTGGTACCCATTTGAGGCTGGGTCGACCTGCGACGTCCATACCCCGATAAAAATCCACGCAGCCCGCAGTGGGTTTCGATTGCAGTACGTTGGACTCGCAACGCCTTAGCCACACACGCCGTGAAAATTTAAAAGGCATGAAAAAAAAAGAAAAGAGAAGGCCAACTAAAGAAATAAATGGAGGCAGGTGATATCTGCAGCAGTAAACCTCAAGGGCTCAGAATGCTGCAGAAGAAAAAAAAGAATTGCTGTCATAAAACATAAACATTTACAAAAACAATATGCAGATAATATAGTATTGATCTCAAACACTGAACAGGACCTGTAGCATTTGATGTATGCAGTTAAGTTCTAGGCTTAGAATTACATTGAAATGTAAAAGAAATTATAATTGTTCCCAAGAAGACAAGTTATAACCCATGTAACATCCAAGGAAATGGGATAATTCTTAATTTATACAGCGTTATAAAACGTTTTGGTAGTATCTTCAGACAATATATGCTTGATTTCTGTGTTTTAACTTTGATGTCAGAAGCTCCTGTTTATATCTTTTATATCTACACAAGCAATTTGTTTTTAAATGCTATCTTTAATATTTGTCTCTTTCAGTTGATAGCAAGTAATGAAGATTTGAAAAAAGAAGCAGAATCTCGGAAAGAGCAGTCTAATGCAACCAAGGGAGAGGAGAATGAACAGTCAGACAATACTGATGAGCTCCGAAGACTGCAAGCTGAAAATTCTGCTTTACAGAAGAAATTAAATGGTTTGCATTAGAAGTTTTAAATTATTGTCTACTTCTTTATTGTGTGCTTGGCATAAATCCTCTTGGCATATTTAATACTCTTATTAGAGGTTCCAGGTAGTTAGTGTTGTTTGAATATTTTCTCCAGATTATGATGGTGTGTTGAGAAATTAACAGGTAGATAAGACTGGCTGGTACTGCACCACTTGGTGGTGAACTGATGCATGACAAGCTTTCTGTTGTAAAGGTCCTTTAACTCTTTCGCTGCTATGGATGTATTATTCTGTTTGCCTGCAGACTGCTACAGTATATCTTTGGAGTTATCCAGTTTCTTGGCCCTCACTGCTATGGATGTATTATGCTGTTTGCCTGCAGACTGCTACAGTATATCTTTGGAGTTATCCAGTTTCTTGGCCCTCACTGCTATGGGCGTAAGAACATGTTTTTGAATTTACAGATAATTAAGGACCATTATTCTGGGGGTCAAATGGCAATACACATTGGCCATTTTCAGATCAAATGGACCCTTTACATACAATTAAACACCACATGCGTTTAGGTATATTTAGAAGCGTTCTGTGTTATCCTGTTGCTTTTTTTTTTTTTTTAAACCATACAAGCATGATCAGTAAACTGTATTTTTGCCCTGGGATATTTTTTAGGTTTTACATCAGTGTACATTTCATCGGAGACAGTAAAGCAGGCCAAGGATTGTGATATCTACACCCCACCCCTAACCTTTTACAGCATAAGGCAATCACAAAGAAACTTCTCATACAAAGCATATTAATTTCTACTTTATGCTATCAGTGCCAGACATGGTCACTCACAATAAAAAGAAGAAAATTAGTAACCATCGAAATGAGGTATCATAGAAAGACTGTAGGAGTGACCAGAAGAGATAAAATCAGAAATGAGGTCATACAAGATAAAGTGGTACAGAACCAATTCTAAATTACATCAAAAGACAGCAAATCAAATGATTTGCTCACTTAGAGAGAATGCCTTCTGATGCTATACCATAAAAGTTAAGTTAGTTGCGTATCCTTTACAGGATGTTGCTGAACCAACTCCAGCATTTTTTGGCTGTTGTGGTTTTTCTAGGCAAATTTACGTCCAGCAGTTTGCCATTGCTTTCTGGACGGCAGCCTTCTTGGTACCACCGTTGACACCAGCGTAAGGCCTGTAGCTGGGATCGAACCCGACACCCTGGTATTATCAAGTGCGTTCGCAATGCCTAAGCCAAAGATGCCGACAGGCATAGAATATACAAAAACTACCAAAATTTTTAAACTTTGATTTAAGTGATAGTTATAGAAAAAAACCGCATATGTAATGTTTTAACATATTTGAAAATGTCTGGATTTAGTGCTTCAGGAAAAGTTAGAAAGAGATGTCCCTGTACAGAATGAACCGCTGTCACAGAAGAGCTCATCTGAAACGCCTCAACATGAAGGGTGAGCAAAATTTTCTCTCTGTAGAAGGGCTATCCGCCTGGTGAGAACATCACACATATATCACAAACACTGTAGCTCTGGCAATGATCCCCTGGTGTCTGCATACAAATTGCACCCATTAACCAAATGGCACAACCCTGATGAACTCAGGACAGTTAAAGCATGTGGCAAACAGCTTGACCACCCTGCCATGTATTACTGTAAAACACTAGAGAATCACTTAAATTGCACTACAGAGCTGTGTTCTTTGAAGGACATGTTTTTAACATTTATCTAACTGTTATTTATTGAAAATAAACAAATGTTATTATAAACTTTTGTGAAAATGAAAAGACAGCATTGCTTATTTTGGGCATCCCCTCCTCCCCCCAAAAAAATTCAAGGCTAATGAAATGGAGACAGCATGACACTTCTCAGAAATATAATGATATAATTGATGATTTGATGAAAATTATATAATAACTTTTGCCTGCCACAGTAGTATCTCTGTTGTCATTTCACAAAGCAACAAGGATCAGAACATTGTTATGCCTGCTTCATCTCATGGTGTTTGTGGTATAGGATGTGTGGAAAGTCTAAGCCTGTCACAATTCTGTAACAGTTATGTAGTTATTTTAGCCTTTTTCACCAATATTTAATCTCTTCGTACCAGCTGACTTTGTTATCACTGTATGTTCTGCAAGAGGTATATATTTATGCTATCCCTCATCAAAGTTTGAATCTATTAATGACTGAAACAAGTCTACTTTGCAACTTGCTCCAGTGAACTTCAGATAAATCTGATAAACATGTGATAAATTTAAATTTGAGACTTCTAAAGCTGTAAGTCATGTTAGCATATATGTAGAAGACTGCTGGGCAGCCATATTGTTTTCAAACAAACACTTAATAACTTGGTAAACCTCACAAACATGCAATAATTTAGTGTTTTGACCAAATGATCAGCACCTGTGTTATTGAATACGAAGAACCGGAAAGGAATTTTCAATTGTTGTTTGTGTTTTTACACCGGTCAATAGTAAATTTTGTGTGTGTCATGCACCGATTGGGCAGCTGGGTAGTTACCAAATAGCATCTGATGCGTTCCTTCGGACTCAAAGAGTTAATAAAATTGCTTGTGAGCATTGGTTTGGAGTAAGTTAACAATAATATCCCTGAAAATTGTTTAGCAAACAACACTAACCTTTGCCTAATCTCAGCCAGTCCATATATGCTGTTCTTTGACCTGATTACATACTAATATACCTTTTTTCAAATCTGATGTGTTAGTGCTTTTCTTGCGCATCCCACTGGTTTCTGATCTAGGAGATGGAAAAAAGAGCTCTGCTTAAAATCTTGACTCCAACCTTACACAGTTTATACTACATGAACACCAGTGCAACAGGTTTAATTACTATAATTTTCCTTGTATAAAATATGTTTTCCCAAATGTTTCAAGTTTAAAAATGGGGGTTGTCTTCTGAAGGTGTTTAAAACATTTATTTCTGAATTTTGGGCTCAGAAATAGTCGTTATCTTATACATAGGTCTTATACACGGAAAAATACTGTAATATTAAATCATCCTAAAGATTTACTAGCTACTAGTTTTTAATAACATTAGCAATTTGTCTTACTTTTACTTTAATTTACTTTTTAGATACAGTTCCGCGGAAAGTGGAGAAATAATTGATCAAGTTGAAGGAACAACAGAAGCAGGTTTGTTTCACTAACATTTTTTTTATTAACTTTTCGCATTTGCTAGATTTGTACTCACCTAATGTAAGTGTTACATAAAATCTTTGCATTGGAGCCCACAGGGACTAAAGGCAGACCAGAAAATACATGTAGAAGGAAACTAGAGAGTGATATGAAGAAGATGAAAGGGACAACTGGCATCGAAGTCATAGGATCAGGTCACTACATTCTCAGTTTTTCAGAATAAAGGATGAAAGAAGAAGAAAAATTAAGAATGTTGCAAATGATATAATGTTGTTTAACAATAGAAGCCATATATGAGTTTGTATCAGATTCAAAAATATTGTCGCAATGAGTTAGTCAGTTAAAGATACTGGTATGGAAGTCATAAGATTAGGTCTTGCCATTCTCCCTTTTTCAGCAGTTTGAACTTGCTGTGTGTAAAACTGAGCAACAGATATAGTTGTTTCTTCAACATCCTCTGTTTCTCTTTGCCTAGATAACTCTTACTGTAACCAAACCAAGATAGTTAACTCTCTTCCTCCCTCTCTCTCTCTCTCTCTCTCTCTCTCTCTCTCTCTCTCTCTCTCTCTCTCTCTCTCTCTCTCTCTCTCTCTCTCTCTCTCTCTCTCTCTCTCTCTCTCCCCCCACCCTCTCTCTCTCTCTCTCTGTTCATGCATACATACATGTTTTACTTTGTGCATCCTTCAGTGATAGCACACCATCAAGCCTTACAAGTTGCTTATATTTTTGTTTGTTATAGATGGTTACACTGCATGCAGCTGTGCATGGACAGTGAGTGACTTATGCCTTGGCTTTCATGTGCAGAGAATCTTATGAGAATCCACATCCCAAAAGATATGCTTCTCATTTAAACAATCTGTTTTCAATTGCCCCTAGAGAAATAATTGATTCATCTTTTGATTAACTTCGCTTTTATCAGCTTTTTCCTTTTCCCCCTCCATGTATGTAAATCAGAGTTACATGAGGAATAATAGTTATAACCTGTAAAATCAGAGGTGATAGTAAGTAAAGATCACTTTTCACACCTTTAGGCACATTGGGCATATGGGAAGAGCACCCATATTTTTACAGAACAATGGGCTCTAGGTGGGTAATGTGGTCAGCATTACGTTGGCTGTCTCTACTTCCACAGGACATACATCCTGGTACCCATTTTAGGCTGGGTCAACCTGCGACACCCAATACCATGATAAAAATCTACGCAGCCAGCAGTGGGTTTTGATCATGGTACATTGGAATTACGAGTCCGACTCACATTGCCTAAACCAAGGATGCAGCAGAGGTGATAGTGCATAGAGTTAATTTATAATCATCACTGTCAATCAGCAGGTCTTTTACAGAATGTCGTTCTCATCAAGGCAGGCATAAAAGTATCACTTTCTGTAGCCAATTCTCCAGCCCTATGTGCTTTCATAGCTACTGTATCTTCACGGTTTCTTCACTGTCTTGTATCCACCTTCGCAAAGTTGGCCTCTGCTTCATCTTCCAAATTTTTATGTTGTCTAGTGTGTTCTTCTATCTTTCTACTCCTTTGTATGAGTGCCGATCAATACATTTTCTGTTACTTTATTAATATGTAATAATCTCAGTACTATCTATGGCTTTATGTAGTAGAGAATATTGACAATGTATGTGGCATATACTAAGGGGTATGTGGCCCATTTATGTATCATTACATGAATACGAGTAGAACAATAGTCATGTGTTTAAATCCCCGTCTGTTTAAATCCCCGTCGGCTAGAAATATTTTTTTAAAAAGTTTTCTGGACTCCCAGTTTTAAAAAAAAAATGTATCACTTAACTCTTTGAGTCCCAGGGGATTTAACATTAGAGGCCCAAGGGGTGGACAAGAGAGATGTAAAATCGGCGCGTCTTGCGTTTATTGGGCCTCTAGGTGGAAACCTATAAATGTATGGGACTCAAAGAGTTAAAATATTCTGTAAGTAAAAGTAGCTGATATTTGCCACATCACGCATATACTGCCGATTGGTTATCAAAAAATAAAAGTGGCGGCTACCACCAAATACCCAGTATGCTTCGAAGTATGGTAACAGGTCTTTTACCTTTTTACTTAGAATATTGAAGAGTGATAAACATGGGCAAAGTTTGTTTGCAGCAGGTGGCTTTGGGAATCTGAAAGAGTTGATGTTTTAAGGGAAGTTATGATATAGCAGCATTATGAAGCTGTTTGCTATCCTCTCTTCTCTTCTTTTCAGATTTGTCGTTGCCTACAGCAGGTTTGAATGATCTTGTAAATAGTAAGTACAAGACATACTTGTCATTTTGGTTACATTTTCACGTTTTTTTAATTCTACATTTTGAAATCTGTAAGGAATTATAATCTTACCAGTAATTGTCATTTTTCGAGCCCTTATGATAAAAGTGTCCATAAAATAGTTAAGCACTGTTAAATAATAGATGTATTAGATGTATAAGGAAGCCAAACTCAGAATGGACTTATATACCTATTCAAATAATAAATTTATATGCACGTGTTCTCCTGAGTGAATGGCGTTTAGCCCCACCAGGATCACAAAACGAGTGATAAGCCCCCGGTGACATAAAGTGTCACCATTCAGATGAGAATTGCCCCAGGCAAAATTCTCAGAAACCACGTTCACCTGCTAGATTATATTTAGGGCCCCTGATAACAGCCAGAGTGGGGCTTTTAAAATAATTAAAAAATTACGTCCCTTGGTGAGGCATTCTTTTCCTAACTGACCGGATGTTCAAGCCCACGAGGACCTCACAACGAGCAATAAACACCCAGTGACACAAAGTGCCACCATTCGGACAAAAATCCCGCAGGTTTGGGGCTTAAAAAAAAAAAAAATTGCATTCCCCCTCATCGTCATCATCAATTTAAATTTGCCAAGTTCAGCCGCTGCCTAGGGAGCTAGCTAGCTGTCCTAGCTAGCATTAGTTCTAATTTCAGCTCCTGTTCACGCTGTTCTCCTGACTGACGTTCGTGGACATCTCACCAAGCAATAAACACCTGGTGCCAGAAAGTACCATCATTCAGATGAGAATCACCTGAGGACAGGTCTCAGAAACTCAGTTTAACCCATAGGCTGATTTATTTTAGGGCCCCCAGCAACAGCCAGTGTGGGGCTCCAAAAAAAAACATTTAGTCTGACATTGGGACATAGTTTGCTTTTTCTGAAATAAGTTCCCTCTACTTTCATTTATATATCAATAGTCTTATTTGCCCACAAATTATTTATGAGTGGCCCATTATGTTTGCTTGGGAGTGGAAAAAGCAATCGATTTTTCAACATTTCAGAATTACAGCTTCAGTTGGATACAGAAAGAGAGGAGAAGCTGATAATCAAAGCTGAACTAGAACAAAAGCAGGTGACAATATGTAAATGGTTGTTTTCCTTCTACTTGTGTGTGTGTGTGTGTGTGCATGCGTGCGTTCATTCGCGTGCGTGTGAGTTGGTGGGTGTGGGTGGATGGGTGGTTGTGATTGTCTCCCTTTTTTTTATTTTAAAACCACCTACAGAGTTATAAAGATAAAACTAAGAGTTCTTTTCAAGTTTCCTTTTAGTTCCATACAGCTTTGAGTATGATGTTGACCAGGTAGTTCAGTATTTTTTTTCATGGGTTGTACAAGGGGCAGTCCTTCAGGACATGCTACATGATTTGTTAATATAATCCACATGAACACAGGGGTTTGACGTGGCACAGCTGTTCAGGTGGAGCCAGTGGTGTTTTTCTAGAAACCTAGTAGATGTAGTCAGTGAAATAAGAGTAAATGAAACACAAAGCTTCCACTATAAATAAAACATTGGGTAAAGCCTCCATTATGGCAAAAGGAACTAGAAAAAAGCTATCCACAAAAGATGGTAATCTGGTGGCAGTTGTTAAAAAAGATACACTTCTGAAGATTCTGACACCCTACAGTCTAAAACAGAAGGTAAATAGTGCAACAGATTTTGTTTGTATTTATTATAGAACAGGCAAAAAAGGCAGTTGAATTTTATGTTAGAACCATCTCAGATACATGTCTTGTTAATTATTCATGTGCCTGCATTGATTTTTCGATTAGCACATGAAGATCTACAATGCAGTACTTAATCTTACAGTTTAACAGAGGCCTTGGCTTTATGGTACATGTCTATCACATTGTGGCTAAGGCATATAAAAGATTTTCTGCCTTAAAGATTAGGACAGCTGAAAGCTGTAAAAAGAAATACGCCTCCTCTTTATGCTGTTTTAATATGCTTCATGCTCGGCAGCAAATAAATAGAATTGTTGGACAATGTGCAAAATGAAGCTACGTATCAGCCAATTGGTCATTTAACAGGTACTTTATGAAACATCACTGTCTTTATGGCATGTCTGAAAGTCTCTCTTTCTTCCAGCCAACTCTCCAGCCCTGTGTGCTTTCATAGCCAGTGCATCTTCAGTATCCTGGAGCCACCTTTGTAGAGGTCGACCTCTGCCTCATTTTCCCAGAAATGAGCTAAGCACAATCCATATAATTCTGGGCCACACTGGAGACACTTTATAAAGCAGTGGATTTTTGTTTTGTCTCTCTTCAACAGCTTTCTTTATTTCCCCCTTCAGGGGAATCGTAGCCTGCATATTTGATACTCAGTGGCTAAAGAAGCCATCATTCAGATGCCAGTCCAGCAGCAAGAAAGTCGCTGTGGCAGAGCGGCTAGACGCATGCCGCAGATCGGAAGGTCGTAGGTTCGCTCTCTGGTGGAGCCGGGCTTTTCTTCAAAAAATTACCTTGTCTTACAGGTCGACCCAGTCTTGAGCGGGTACCGGGTGCAGTCCCGGGAAGTAGAGGCAGCCAGCGTGATGCTGACTACATCACCCCCATCTGGTCTATAAAATATAGGTCTAGCCCTATATGCCCTATACATCTAAAGGCGTGGAAAGGGGTCCTTTACTTTTACTTACTTACTTTTTTCAACTTATTGAAGTGGTTATGTAAGGGCACCTTACAATTGCAACAAAAAAAAAAAAAAGGAACCCTTTGTCCTATAGTCACTTGACTAATCCCCCTTTGATGACAAGCAGGATTAATTTATATATATATATATATTAATTTATATCTACTTATATGATTTGTTTACAGAAAGAAAGCAAAGAACAAGAGGCAGCTCTACAGGAAGAACTAGATAAAGTAAGTGACATACATTTACTTTCTTCTAGATCATTTTGAGATGTTGCTGTTCGAGATAAGTTAGTCTTCCAACCATACCTGACTGATTTAAAAAAAAATGTTTGACATATTTAGCATTGCTAAGATAACTTGGTCGACATCTGTCTGTAAAATGGCTGTAATATAATAGAACAGCCATTGGTGAATCAACACAACATAAAACCTGTAAGCCAGGACTGGACCAAGACTCAGCATTAAGGAAACAGGCAATAGTGAGGTGTTCATGTAAGCTTTCATATGCTGCTATCAGATGCTTAAAGAGACTGAAAATAGTTGTGTTTTACCCCAAGTATAGCTATGCCATGTTAACTTCAGTCCCAGGGAGTTTAGTATCAGAGGCCCAAAGGGTAGTAAAGAGAGATGTCAAATCAGCGCATCCTGCTTTCATTGGGCTTCTAGGTAAGAACCTGTGAACAGAAATAAATGCTTGGGTATAAACATCCCTCTTCAGTCTGCTAACAGTGACCAAGTACTCTTTATGTAATGCTAATATTTGTATATGTTGTCATGTTTTTGTCAGAGTAAATGTTTTTCTAAAATTTTTTATTTTCACAGACAAATGAAAAGTTGAAGAAGAAACAAGAAAGGTATGTTATATTTTTCCTTCAAAATATATACTTGTACTAGGTTAATATACTATTGATTGAAAATTTCTTTTATCCTTGAAGGACATTATTTCATAAAGGTCAGAAAATTACCTGATGCCCACTATACAAGACCATCCCAATCCCATATTATTGACATAGATCATTATCATCTAGAAGACTTACACATATCAGATAAAGTGATAGACTCACCCACATAAAAAAGGAAAATGGACCCGTTTCCATGCCTTCAGGCGTATTGGGCATATAGGGCTAGACCTATATTTTATAGACAAAACTGCCACCCACATTAAATGAGCTACTATTTGCTGATGGCCAGTGCTTATTCTACAGCGAGGAATAAGCTGTAAGACCACAGCAGGTTAACTTAAGTTCACCTGACCCACTACATACACCGCTGAATGTTTCAGCCTGAAACAAATGAGGGAATTTAAATATCTAGGAAGATATAGGAAACCTGATGTCAGAAAGCAGTTGCACTTATATACCAATTACCATTACACATCACCATTATAAAGTCATCCAAACATAGCTATAAGTGAAAAAAAAAAGTTATGAACAGCATATTTTTACAAACACTGAGCTACATTGCCAGAAAAAAGCCGCCAACCTAACCATAAAAATAAATACAAGTAAATGATGGTACTATCCGACAGATTGTGGGAACAACACCTTGTACTAGATTCATCGATAAACAGCAGATTTTAAGTGATTTGGCCACATCATTAGAATGCAACAAAACATCAAACACTTCAGAATATCAGCTTCAAGAGCAAGAAAATGGTAAAAAAGTAAAATAAAAAGATGCATCAAAAACATTAAAGAAACTTTAGCCCTTACGGCATGACAATAGCCAGTGCCAGCCACTGTGCACTGGATTATAAAATCCCCCCCCCCAATGGCATTTAATGGCAGAAGTAGTGATGAGGATAATGATGAACTCCAGTGTCATGCTAATCAGCTAAACAAAATTTAGTTTAGGAATTGAATACGTTTCACTGTTTGGCTAAGCAAGTGCTCTAATTGAAGGCTGCTATGAATGATGCTAGAAATACATTACAGTTGAACCTTGTTCACATGAATGTCAAGGGGACTGAAAAATTGGGAGTTCATGTTAAAAGAAAATGTGTGCCCGGAGACTAAAAATAATACCTCCCTGCTGGGACCAAAATGTTGTTCATGTTAACTGAGTGTTCTTCTTAAGTGAATTCATGGGTTTTACGGTTATTACAAATTGAGATTCATTGTCATCCCCAGCTTTCTGCAGCTTCAAGCTGAAAAGGAAGAACTCTTCAAAGAAAGCAGGTAACTTATTAAACTAAGAAAAAAATAAAGCCTTCAAGAGTTTAACATAATTAATAATTTAAGTTCTCTTGTTTGTTATTATGTTTTTTTAATATTTTAGTTCTCAAGCTGTGTGTTCTATGTGGACAGACATCTCAGAATACTGAACATGTGCGCAGACGTGGGCTCTGCAGGGAGTAGAGAGATCCCTGGTCTTGCCAGATTGTGTTCTGGTGGAGACCATGCTGTATGGATCAATGAAGGGCACGTTTCAGGCCAAAGCTTTCATAGAGACATGATATCATCTCATCTGAAAACCACTGGCAGGAGAAATGAAAAGAAAAGAAACAAGCTTTGCGTAACCTAATTCTTCAGTTCTCAAGCCTAACCTAATTCTTCATTTTTCAAACCTTGCCTAATGTAATTCATCATTTCTCAAACCTTGCCCAACATAATTTTTCATTTCTCAAGTCTTGCCTAACATAATTCTTCATTTCTCAAGCCATACCTAAGAGAATTCTTAATTTCTCAAGCCTTGCCTAACATAATTCTTCATGTCTCAAGCCTAGCCTGACATAATTCTTCATTTCTCAAGCCTTGCCTAATATAATTCTTCATTTCTCAAGCCTTGCCTAACATAATTGATAATTCGAGGTGCTGCATGGTCTTGAGGCATGGTGTCCGCCTCGAGGGCTAGAGGTTCCAGGTTCAATCCACAGTAAGGGCTGGGATTTTTTCACATGTACTTGGACTTCTAGCAGTAATGTTGATCCATTGTTCAAACCTCAAATTGTTATTTCAGCTGTGTTTGAAATTAGTAAAGAGCTTACATCGCAGCACTGAGGACATACCCAAAGATTCTCTGTCCCTGTCTTCAGCAGCTAGCACAGAATTCCATTTCTGATGGTACCAGTAACAGTTTGATTCTATGTCCTTCTCTCTTTTCCTCTGAATGTTGTTGGCCATTGCCCACTGCACCTTTTTTTCAGACTGTGATAACCTATTTGTCCTTCTGCACTGTTCACTTGCTCCCAAAGGGCCTTGACCACATCTAGCCTGGCATGCATAAGTTTACCACCAAGTGGTTCAGAACCTGCCAATCTGTCTACCTGTTCGTTTCCCAACACACCTAAGTCCCCTGAAGAAAATATCCAGAGGATGCTAACTACCTGGGATCTCTGATGCAATGCTTGCCACCTTTCTTACCATGCTCACAAGCAGTGCAGTGCCATCAGCTCTTGGCAAAAAAGTGATTTTTAACCCAGCTGCCTAATTCTGAATTTAAAAGACGTCATAAAATAACATTTTCCTAGCAGTTCTGAAATCATAAAATAGAAAACAGCTACTATGTTTCTAAACAAAAGTGTCTAGCCAGAAGCAGAGAAAAAACATTTACTTACTTGGAGTTCTGAAAGCCTAAACTCTTTCAAAGGATTATCCTTACAACTACACACACTTATCGTAGCACTCATGCTATTTTTGGAAGCATTTAAAAAATGACCCCTCTGGAAGTTGAGTAAATTTCTGCATTCTACTAACTTTCTTCTTTTTACTTCGAGTATGTCCCTGGCAGCAGCATTTTCAGTTTGGGCCAGCTTATTTTCCCCCCCAAATGAATGAGGCTAATGTTGCATTTTCAGAAAAAAAAAATTTGTTTTTGCTCATATAAAGCATGATTACAGTTCTATTTTTGTTTTTTTCTCCACATAAAAATTTTTTTTTTTTAGAAATAAATAGGGCTGTGCCGAATATTCACTTCGTATTCGCTTCGGGGCCGAATAGTGGACCTTTTGACTATTTGGCATTCAGCCGAATATTTGCGGTTGGGCCATATACGAATAGTAGTTACCTTACACCCGCTTATGCATACATGGCCTTAATACTGACATGGAACGATTTGTTTTGTTGAAAGCTAATGCAGCTTTCCTGCATTAACTAAGCTGTCAGTGACAATTTCCAAGTTTAGTTGCTAGTTATAATACTTAGGATTCTTTCATTCCTAGTTACTAGTTACCACAGACTGACTGAAGGATGCAAAACATAAAATGTTTTTAAATGTTTACTATTCTGTACGAATACTAACTAGACTTGGAAAGAATATAAACTACGGCCACAAGTCGATAATATTGAAAATTAAACGAACGGAAACATATAAATACTTGGGTGCAAACTTCAACTGCTCCAACATGCTGAGAGAAGAAACACAATCTAGAATACAATCTAGAAATAAAGTATACTATGCCCTTCAACATCTGCTGAAGTCAAAGTGTCTGTCTCGCAACACCAAGATCAAAATATATAAAACGTTGATAAGACCAGTCGTTTTATATGGCTCTGAAACTTGAAGCAGAAATAAAAAAGATGAGGCTTTCTTACAGGTTTTCGAAAACAGCCTTACGACAAATCTTTGGACCCCTTTGGACCCATCAAAGATGCTAACAGCGGGGAATGGAGAGTGAGAATCAACAACATAACACATAATCTGTTTAAATCACTACTGATCACTGGCATCATGAGAGCTAACAGACTAAAATGGTTGGGGCATATTGAAAGAATGTCCGATGACAGAGAAGTAAAACTGTATAGACCTGAGAGAGTAAAGGGCGTAGACCACGAGGCAGACAAAAAAGAAGATCTAGAGATAATGTCCAGCCAGACCTGCAAACAACTGGTGTCACAAATTGTGAAGAAAAGGCCAGCCAGAGAGATGAATGGAGACGAGTGAAATCTGCAGCAGTAAACCTCAAGGGCTCAGAGTGCTAAACAAGAAGATGACTATTCTGTGCTAGTTTATGTGAAATAAAAGTTCAGCGTACATTTGACATTATGAATGTGTGTGTTTTTTAAAGATATATTTTATACACTTTACACTATTCGTATTCGTATTGGGCCGAATAGTTGGTCCCGTTATTTTTATTCGGCCGAATAGTGAAAATCACTATTCGGTACAGCCCTAGAAATAAATGAATGCACATATATGAATATATGTAATCAATAAACATGTGCATAGCAGAAAAATAAAGTGATCCCTTTCCCTTGAGAGTAAAAAAAAAATTATAAAGTGATTCATTCTGTGATCTCATTATATTTAGTAAGCATAATCATACCCAGACTGAAACTCAGTACAGATAAAACAAAACCTGTGAGAAGAAACTATAAACATTTGAGGAGTTCATGGGTAGGGAATTAATATAAGCCATGTTTAGCTAGCCAGTCTGCTTTGTTGTTGTCCTGTATACTGCATTGTGAGAAATCCGTTGTAGGATTCAATCTGTGATTATATTGGGTTGTGATTGGTTGTTTTTCAGTTCCAAACTAGAAGAAAGCCAGGCTGCTAGAGACAGGGACCAGAAGTACTACAAGGATCAGATTGCAAAACTCCAGGCAGAGATTGAGAGAGGCAAAAAGGTAACAGAGAGATTTTGGCACATTTAAGAGGAATTGTTAGAAAATTGCCTAGTGAAATATGTTTTTGTGTGTATGTATGTGGTAATTTTAAAAAATCCTCACATGGAAAACATAATTTTAAAGATAAGAGTTTCACATATTTCATTGCAGTCTAAATCCTTTTGTTTCTTAGATTGGCTTGGTTGGTTTTGAGAATACATTTATAAATGCTGTACTCATCTCTCAAACGATACACAATGATTTACAACCAGATCATGAACTATGTAGCACTCTTGTGGAAGTAACTTATAAGGTTATAAGAACAATAAATTCTAGAAAAGTTTTTTCTGTTGTTGATAGTTTTTTTTTAAATTTTAATAAATTCATTTGTTGAGAACTGGTGCAGTCAAATAACATAGGCACCAGAGATTTTCCTATAAAAAGAAAGGCAGTGCATTCATGAGTTTCTTAAAATGTGCCTATCACAATATCACCAACATTTATTTCGTTCATTCATTCATTCTGCTGTTTTCCATATAGGGCTCAAAGTCTATTTCTCTATCCCGTTCTATACTGTGTAATCTCTAAGATATCATGGATGGAATCCAGTCTAGCACCTTTGACTTCTCTCATCAGTGTTTCCCTTAGGGTTTCTGTTAGATGGCCTCACTTCCGCAGTCCCTGTGTTTTCCATTTCAGTGCATCTTTTGTGATACTCTATTCATCTCTTCTCAGAGTGTTTCCAATATAAAACCATCTTCCTGCTAATTTCTGTAGCATATAAAATTTTACAAGGTGTGGAAGCTGGCACCATGCCCAACCCTCCTCCATTCTCAACCGGCCTTGGGACCGCGGCAGTGGCAGAGATGTATTTAGTCTGCTTTACTCTATCATGTTGTGGCACTGTCAGTCTTAATGTGAACTGATGTTGCATGCGTTTGCAGGTTAACCACTGAAATCAGTTGTAGTTAAAATTAATTAGAAGAGCTTAACATTGGTAGCATTTGTGTTGACATAGTGGTTAATGTGGTTGCCTACCAAGTTACTTGCCAGGGGTCAGTCCCCAGCAAAGACAGGATTAGTTTTTCTCACACAATCTAATAAAATTTATTTGTTTCTGGGAAATGTCTGTGAGAGAATTGCATTGTGAATAGGAACTGCCACAACTTACATTTCATGGCGTAAAATATATGAAGACAAACCACTTCACATTCTCATGGCAGTAACTGCTAGGGTCTCATTCTGCAGCATTCTGATCCCTTGAGGTTCATTGCTGCAGATATCAGCCACCCCCATTCATCTCCATGGTCTTCTCTTTCCAGAAGGTGACTAAGTATTTGTAGGCCTGCCAGTTTTTGGTTTGCCTCATGGTCTACTCCCAACTGTCTCTTTAATGTATGCAGTTTTTGTGTCTATATTATCTGCAATTATTGCAGTATTTGATGAAGCTCCCTTTACATTTTGAAAACTGATAATGAGCTCCATTCCAGGTTCCTATGGATTAAGTTCTGAGGCCTGTCAATGATTATATCTTCTTCTAAGCATTTGGTTTTGTATGCTCAAGTGAGACCATCAGGGGGATTGCTTCTGTGAACTCACATGTCAGCTGCAGGCCCTCCATTCTTCCACATAGCTTGCTCTGCAAACTTTGCTCTTGAGACCAGGTTTCTTTTCATAGTTGTAAGTAATAATGGGCAGGCTTGTAGAATGTGCTCAGGTGTTTGTGGTCCTGTCTGACAGGTTATATGAATATTATAGGCTCTTGTAAAATCTACACTCCTTGAGATATGTTATGCTTGGTCTCTCCTAGGAAGCAGGGGAGCAGCAGATGACAGCAGAAAAACAGATGGATGATTTAAGGCAACAGCTGACAGAGCTTAAGAAACAGGTAGATTAAATGTAATATGCTTAACAGTTGGATACTTTAAAAAATCTTTTCTTGTTATTAACTTTTTTCAGTCCTAGAATATTTCATTTATGATGCCAAAATAGACAATAACCACTGCAAAAGAATGCATGAGTTTGTTACTTCCAAAGATGGTACATAAACTTTTGTTTGTTTTATTTTAAATATATAGCCAGATTGTCTTGACATGTTGAGACTAAATGTAGCAGTTATAATAACACACCAAAATACAGTCTGAAAATGAGGTATTCTGTAGTTTACACCATCTGCTAAAATCAATGCTGTATTTCCTAATGCCAAGACCACACTATATAAAACACTAATTAGACCAGCTGTCTCATATGCCTCTGAAACCTGGAGTACAGCTAAAAGAAAAGAAGCTTTATTAAAATCTTTTGCAATCACAGTCTTAAGGCAGATCTTTAGACCCATCAAAAACACACAGCAGACAATGGAACAATTCTTAATCTGTTAAAGTCACAGCTAATCACTGATGTCGTGAGAGCTTATAGACTGTAATGGTTGTGGCATTTAGAAAGAATGACAGATAACAGAGACACAGAAACTGTGTACTCAGAAGAATCATGAGGAAGTCCAAGAAGACATTACAGACAAACCTATAGACACTTGGAGTCACCAATGGGAAAGAGAAATCCAGACACAAAAATGAATGGAGGTGGTTTATATCTACAGCACTAAACCCTCAAGGGCTCCAGTTGATGAAGAAGGTAAAAAAGATAAAATACAATACTTAGTATGCATGTAGAACAGCTGATCACATGTAGTATGTTATTTGGTGTTCATAGCACATGCAAACACACACACATATGCACACATACTCTCTCTCCCCCTCTGTCTCTGTCTGTCTCTTTCTCTCTCTTTTTGTGAACGTCATCATCAGTCACTTGTGTAAGTATATACCTTCTTTACATTTCCTGGGGTCCATAGGATTGCAGCTATAGTTATAGCTATTTCTTCAGAATTGTCTTTTTGTTTTGTTTTGTTGTTGTGAGAATAGTTTTACTGTTTTCCCATCTCCTTTTTCCCCGTTGTTCTTCTCTATAAACTTGTGGGCAGCAGGGGTCGACTACATTGAGGATGTCTAGAAGGCATCTCAGGTGAGGGTGGGATCTAGAATTAAGCAGTTTAAGTTCTTTCACAGACAAGTCACACAGCACAAGGTCCTCCAAGGAGTGACTCAACAAGGCTGCCACCATGACATGTATGTAGTTTTATTGAAATAAATGTTGGTGCATGTCAGCACGCAAAATGGGGATGCAGTATACATATATCTTCATGCTGTCATCGCTGATATTAGCCGTGTAAGCTGGACTGGCCTTGCTGTGGGAAGCAGACAGAATGACGCTGCTGTTAACTACCTGTGAGTTCACACAACAGCCCTGTAGTGCAGAAAAACAAACCGGTGTTCAACCATCCACACATAAATACCTAGAACATCATCTGAAGAATAAATATTTCCATCTCGCTGGCAGAAGACAATATACTTGTTCAACTTGGAGCTCAGTAAGAAGCTGACATGTAACTGCTAAAACATTAGTATCTTGTCAATGGCAGCAGGTTTGTAAGTCAGCTCACGATGAGCTTACTCAAATTACAGCCAAGAAAATGACTGACCACAACACTGCTTAGCGCTAAGAAATCAGAAGTACCTCACACTAGAAATGAATCTAAAAACAGAACTAACTTAGGACTTGGCCTGAGTTAAAAACCATGTGACTGAGACATGGCTACATACTCAGTTCATATTTTTGTCATTGGTCTTGAGTATACCTTCCCATCATGGCTTTTGTTTCACAAACTATCTTTACAGGATAATTAGCCACTTACTAAGAACATCACACAAAGAATGAACACCATAGCTTCAGTGACAGTCCCCAGAGATATCTGTTATTTATTGTATGCAAGTCAGGTTACCAGGTTATCATTCTCATTCTTCATGACAGGTTGATGTTTCTGGCATGGCAACCACCCATCAACTCCAGGAACAAGCCTCCAGATATCTGGCAGATATTGCAATACTAAGGGACACAGTGCAAAAACTGACCAAAGACAGAGATGATCTGTCAGCTCAGCTTCAGGTATTTTCTTACTTTCTCAGTTATACTGTCAGTATTCATTACTTTTTCCTTGTTTTACTACTATTATTTCTTATTCGCTCTTTTACTACGAGTATTTCCTTAATTTTTGTGTGTTTTCCTGCCAGTATTTTATTAAATTTTATGTCCTACTGCACCATTTCTTTCTTTTCCTGTTTTACAACCACTATTTCTTATTTTTCTTGCTTATGTTTTTTTTGTGGTCAACTTAAAAAAAAAAATCTTGTTTTCAGTGTTTGCAATTAAATTCAGACTTTAAAAAGTGAAAAGAAAATAATGAACATACATATAGTAACTGTAGCAGAAAAGCACAGATTAGACAACTAGAAACCCAAGATGTTTCAGTGCTAAAACTTATTGGTTTTTGTTAATAAGATTTGAAGTTGCCAGTGTGGGTTCTGGGGCCCCTGTGGTGGGGGTTGGCCGAGAGGGAAGGAATGAACCCAGTGCCTCCCTTAAAAAGTATTTCATAAGAGTAAAATAATTAAGGGTTTCCTTTGAAGTCAAAGTGGTTCTGCTTGAGAGACAATGAAACAACAGTCTGCATACAAATAAGCCAGATCTGTAAAATGGATGTACATGCAAGACTAAAGTTCTGGGACAGGACTTAAATCCAGAAGTAGACGAACAACCAGAAATTTTCGTCAGAGTTTACAGCCAGTGAACGCTAAGAAGAGGAGATCAATCTTTATGTGTGAAGAGGAAACATCTGATTCGTCATCATGTAGGAGGTCCTTGGCAGAACATCGCTCTCATCTGCCTGAAATAAACTCAGTCTCTCCCCAGCTCTCCTGCTTCGTGCATTTTCGTATTCAAGGAGTAACTTTATCCTGTGCCTATCTTTGTGTAGTCGACCCCTGCCCCTTCTTCCTGGTAGCAGCTGATTACTGTTTCATTTTGTCATTTTAGTTTACATGTGGCTGTGATACTGAAGGGTGTGTCTGTAAACTCATCACTTGTTTGTGTCTCTAGGAGAGTTCTCGAGTGGCTGAGGATGCTGTTGCTCAGATGCAGGCAGCGCAAACAGAACGTGATACCCAGATTACAGCTGTGCAGGAGATCAGTAAGGTGTGTTCTGATGAATATGCATTTTGGGATCTGTTTCATATTGTATATTAATAAAGTAACAGAAAGTGAATTGATCGGCACTCATAAAAAAAAAATTTAAAAGATAGAAGAACACACTAGACCCCCCAAAAAAATCGATAACTATAGTTACCATGCCGGAAATTGAACCTGTCGCCTCCAGATGGCGTGTGCGCCTCACAATGGAAACAAGTGCACTAAAAACATGGTGTCTTATTGGTCATGTCTATCATACAGCTTGAAATCCACAACTATGGAAAACAGACAGAATTGCAAACCATTGAAATGGCACCATAGGTTACTACAGATTGTAGTATGACAGAGAGAATGCATAATTTGTATTATAGTTAATTGTTTTTCCTTGTCCTCCAAATCCTCATCTTTTATCTTAATTTTGTTTCTTCTTTTTTTTTTGTCTTTGTCTCCTTCTACTCTACCCCTGTCTCCTTTATCTTAGAAAGAATGTTGGTTGCGTTGTCTCAGTTTACGACAGGGCATTCAAAGTTTGTACATGCACACCTGCACACCATTTCCATTCTACCATATATCTCTTTCTCCTCTCTCTCTCACTATTTATATATGTATGTATGTGTATATATATATATTTTTATGTTTGTGTGTGTGTGTGTATATATATATGTGTGTGTGTATGTGTGTATATATATATATATATATATATATATATATGTGTGTGTGTGTGTATATATATATATATATATATGTGCACAAACACATATTAGCTTGCACGTATGCACACATGCACACAAACACACATGAAAAGGCTGCAAATGAAGTATTATACCGAGACAATCTTGAAAAAAACTAAAGAGACCTTGAAAAGGACCTTGAAAAGCCTTGAAATTGATTGGTAAATTTGGCTATGAACCTTGATATATATATATATATATATATATATATATATATATATATATATATATATATATAAATATATATATATATATATATATATATATATATATATATATATATATATATATATATATATTTATATATATTTATATATATTCTGTTCTTGAATTGTCTTTCACATTCTGTTTTGTCAGACTTGTTTGCATTATACTCGTATCTAGGTGGCCGAGAAACGTAAAGCTCTGCTTGATGAACTGGCAATTAAGTATCAGAAGGAATATGATTCACACAAAGAGAGTATCAAGCAAATGGAGACAAGACACATGGAAGAAGTGGACAGGCTTCAGTCTGTCGTTCATGATCATGTGGTATGTATCTTGTCTGCTATAGTGCTGAAATGCTATTAGTATGTGACTTTATTCAAACAAGACTAATACCTATAAACGACAGTAAAAAACTATTTTTTTTGGGTATCAGTCTTGCATATAATGCTTCTTCTCCTTCACTTTCACAGGCAGTAAACTTCGGCAAAAAAGTTCTGGTTGTTCATCCACTTTTGGACATTAGTCTTGTTCCAGAACTTGAGTTTTGCTTGCTTATCAGTTTTACCTATCTGGCTTATTTGTATGCAGACTTTGTTCCTCAGGCAGATGTACTCCAACTTCCTTGAAGGAAACACCTCCAGTTAGTCAACTTTTAGGACATGCTTGTTGGGGAAGGGGAAAGAAGGGAAGTGGGTCTCTTTCCCCCTCCTTCCCCCCACAAATCAATTACAAAGTAACCTGCATTCTAGTATAGGGAAGGATGGGGAGGGGAGGGGGGGGGGGTGGGTGGGTTGGGGTTCAAGTCATTCTATCTGTGCATAGAAAATGTGAAAGACTAATACTGACCCCAACAGTCATCTGCCATGAGGCGGGCTATCTTTACCTGTCTCTTTCTTCTATCTCCATATTGAACATAAGTTAACCTACTCCAACCGAGCCTTTTATTAACTTGATTTATTTATTCTGCTGATGAGGGTTCTCTAGCCTCAATGTTCACTTTCAGTTTGTGTGTTACATTGTGAAGCGGGAAGTTCTGATTGGCGGACAGATAGAGCACTGCTTTTCTGAACTGTCAGCTTCTGCAGCATGCTTTGTTCCAAACGTACCCTTTCCTTTAGTAAACAAGGCAACTCAAGAGAGAGATCATGATGCATGGGCAACCTGTGATCTCTAAAATACTGCCCAGGCTTTGTGCTTTGGAGAGTAGGAACTTCATCCTTGATGTTAATTTGTTTTTATTAACCGGACAGGTCTTGCTAGTTGCACTTGCCATCGCCATGAGCTATGAGACCCATGCCTCCTCATAGCACAATAAAACACTATTGTCTGGAAAGATTGTAAGGTGCCAGTAAGACTTATTAAATTTGTGTATTCTTGCCTGTACATGTGGTTTTGTTGGTTTGTGTAATGTGCTAATAAAGACTGTAGCTGGAACGATCACTTTCTGTTTGTGTTTGTTCAACTGTGATGCTCACTGGTCTACTTTTGATTTGGTTTTATATCTTTTCAAGATAAATGTCACTCTTCTTTGTTTTCTTTTAAGCCATAGTTCAGGGGAAGGAGCGCAGTAGAGAGGATACTAGCTTTATGCTAGGAAGACGGAACAATCTGAAAACTTAATGTTATGGCAGGGCAGACCAGGCCCTTAGCCTTGGCTGGAAGCTGGTTTAGGAGGATAGCTTTGATAGGCATACAGACAAAACACTGCTGTTCTGATGCAGCAGTGTCTGCAGCTTGCTTTGTTATGAACATATTGGTGTAGCCTTTCCTTTAAAGTTTACAATTCAGGCTGTGAGAGGGATCATGGTGCATGGGTAGTTGATGGTCTCTACAATACTGCGCAGGCTTCATGCGATTCATAGGTCCTAAAATCCCATGTTCCAGTTGTAGAAAACCTTTCTTAACATGGGCAGATCTTTCTAGTCTCCCCACTCACCATCGCCATAGGCTGTAATTCTCATGCTATCCCATAGCACACTATAACACTGTCATCTGAGAAGACTAAAGGTGCCAACGAAGCTATTTTAAAGCAAGGGACCTTTATCCATGTCATAGAGCTGACTAATAGTATAGTGGAAAGGGGGGAGTGGTGGTGGTGTTTTGTTTGTTTAATGAGCACAATCATTATGAATGTGTTTTTTCCGTTATTCTTCAGAGAAAGATAAGTGAACTAAGCAAACAGCTACCAGTTATTGACGAACTTTCCAGAAAAGTCCACTCATTAGAAGACACAAAAGGTTGGCTGGAGAGACGTTTGAAAGAGATAGAGGTATGCCTTGTCTGTACTCTTATCATGAAACTATTTCTAGTAACTACCAAAAATAACTAAATATTGTGGGTGGAAAACAATGCAGAAGCTATCATCTCTAGTGAACAGCATATACACAAGATTAGTGATTAGTAAGGATTATCATAACAGATCGCTAGGTGCTCTGATTTACTCCTCAAAAGCTCAACAAGTCTAAAATGACCGATGACGCCTGTTTTGTGTTGGTTAATGAAATGTCTTGTCCTCTTAGGGAAATGTTCATTTCTTGCTGCTCCAGGCTCACCCCCATGTCCATCAACCTAGACAGGGATACAGAGTCATACCCTTTGGTATGCTCGTCATCATGGTAAGTGCTGAGTGTGGCATTAATAACATGGCTTCTGTCTAGTACTGGACCGGCCATAGCGACTGCAATGTCAGCAGGATAATCTGCTTGCTCGTTACTTTGAACACCTGCATGACCTGGCACAAAGATGAAGGTTAGGGCAGCCATTCGCAAAGTGCTTAGTGTTGCAGTCCATCCTTGCCTGATAAAACCAGTTGAGATTTTTTTTAAACATATTTATCAAGTAACTAAGTACGCATGTGTGTATGAACTCTTGAGTACCAAGCCATGCTAATGCCCTTGTAACAGCCATAGTTTCCTTATACACAAGATGAATCAACCAGCCATTTGCTGAGCGCCTTAAAAGTGAATACACGTCATCAATCAGCATTTCCTTAACAGAATGTCACTGTCATCATGATACACTTGAAAATCACTTTCTCTCGCCAGTCCTGAAGCCCTCTGTGTTTTTTTCTCCAGCCCTATGTGTTTTCATACTGAATGCATATTTAGTGCTTTGTATTAACGTTCACAAAGGTGTGCTTCTGCCTCGTTTTCTGAAAACTGTACCCTCCAACTCCGTTCTTTCCAGGCCACCATGATGTTTATTGTAGCCAAAATACCTCAGCTTTCAGGACAGGGTGCTGTTTATGAGCCAGTTTTCCTCTATGCTCAGATCATGTAGGATGTCAGTGGTAATATACCTAAATGCAATTATGTAAGCTAAAAAAAATGGATAGTAGGAGACTTTTAATGCCTAAGGTAACTAATATAATTGAGATAATAATTAAATGATATCCTCCCTAATAATAACCCAAAAATATGAACATAATATTTCAAGTAATAATCTTTTAATTACTTCTAATAATAATAATATTAATAATAATAATTTTATTAACATAAATGACTGAATGAAGGGATTATATGATATATACAAGTTTACTTTAAAAATACGATAGACACTGTATGTCCCAATTGTAATCCTGAAGGTTGAACAGGATATTGTTTCTATAAAAACTACTACTAACACTTAATGACAAGTATTCATGCACCCTATGCTTGATGTTGTTTTGCAGGAACAACTGTCATCAACTACCTCAGCTTATAAACAAGAAAGGGAGTTGCTGATGAACACTCACAAGACCGAGGTGGAAGAACTCACCAGTAACCACAAACAGGAGATTAGCAGATTGAAAGAGGAGAAGGAGGTAATAGAACAACAGGCAGAGAGAAGAGAAGCGGAACTGAATGAGGAATTAGCAGCACTGAGAAGTAAAGCCAATAATTTGAAGCAGGTTTGTGAAAGCAATCACCTTATTCACTTTTGTTTGTTTTCTGCTGTGTTTGCTCTTGAAATTATGATTGGCACATTTTGTTGTGGTTTACAGATAGGCTAGGATATTCACGCCTTTGAGCCCAACACAGTGTCAGTCAATTTTTTATGATGAGAAATCAACTCTGATATATTCTGTAAGGTCATGTCTTAGAATGCAGGATGTTCTCATCATGTTGCTTCTAGGGCCCCATTGCAGGGAAAACAGAATAGGTCCACTGCCTCTCTAACAAGCATGTTGTAAGAGCTGACTAATTAGGGATGTGTATTTGCCTGAGTGGTAAGGAAAACCAACAATCTGCCTACAGATAAGCTCGATCTGTAAAATAGATATACATGGAAAACACACAAGTTCTGGAACAAGACTAAAGTCCAGAAGTGGATGAACAATTAGAATTTTCTGTCCTGTTTACAGCCAGTGACTCTGAAGAAGAAGAAGACTGCCGGGAGGAAGTTTGTATGTTATGTCATTTGCAGAGAATGTTATGTTGTTGATGTCATACATGCATATGTGAAGTGAATGTATCTGATTTACATTGTGAATGCTAGGACAGAACAGTTTGGCTAGCATGGGCAGCGTGTCCCAGGTCTTATATAGCTTGCATGGACAGTGTGTCCCAGGTCTTATATAGCTTGCATGGGCAGTGTGTCCCAGGTCTTATATAGCTTGCATGGGCAGTGTGTCCCAGGTCTTATATAGCTTGCATGGGCAGCGTGTCCCAGGTCTTATATAGCTTGCATGGGCAGTGTGTCCCAGGTCTTATATAGCTTGCATGGGCAGTGTGTCCCAGGTCTTATATAGCTTGCATGGGCAGCGTGTCCCAGGTCTTATATAGCTTGCATGGTCAGTGTGTCCCAGTTCTTATATAGCTAGCATGGGCAGTGTGTCCCAGGTCTTATATAGCTTGCATGGGCAGTGTGTCCCAGGTCTTATATAGCTTGCATGGGCAGCGTGTCCCAGGTCTTATATAGCTTGCATGGGCAGTGTGTCCCAGGTCTTATATAGCTTGCATGGGCAGTGTGTCCCAGGTCTTATATAGCTTGCATGGGCAGTGTGTCCCAGGTCTTATATAGCTTGCATGGGCAGTGTGTCCCAGGTCTTATATAGCTAGCATGGGCAGTGTGTCCCAGGTCTTACTAAACTTGGACTGTGCGTACTTAACTCTTTTAGTCCCAAGTAGTTATTACATTAACTGTTTCCATCACAAAGATTGTGTACTTTACAGTAACTTGTGGTGTCCTGATGAGTTAAATTTGAAGGGAAAGAGAGACAGAGTGAGACCAAGAGAGAGAATATGCTGGACAGTTTGACATCATGGCATGGAAGATCATATATGTCAGAACTGATTGAAAGTAGATGAGACCTAAGGTTGTGGAGAGACATGACTACCAGCGTCACATGGCATGGACTATAAGAAGAAGAAGAAGAATTCAGATAAAAACTATACAGCAGAATGAGTTAAAGTGAGAATTGTGATGTAATGAGTTAACTCTTTCAGTAACAAACATCTCACCTTATATTTCAGGGTCAGTCCAAAGATAATCTAATTTCTTGTGTTGTCTTCTGTCATAGACAGTTGTATTATTGACCGTACGCATCTGAATTATTAGTTTAACTACTTGTGTCCTAGAAGCTCGCTTGCAACTTATAAAGCCTGCATAGGAACTGCACCATTTTGATAAAGGACATTCGCCATGACTAATGGACTCGGAAGTCTTCGCCATGTTGTAGCTGAATGACAGAACCAGGATTAGAAAGAAGATGTCACCAATAAATTGCACAATTTGTTGAGAAGCAAATATTGTTTATCTCACCAGGTGCACAAGATGAGTGCATACTACACTAACACATTATAAGTTGCAATTATTTGAAATTAAAAGCTGAAATTTCAACAGAAATAAGATTACAAAAATTTCACATTCAGAAGTAACTGTCTCTTGTAATCATGAGCAGATATTCCAGTTTTCAAAAATTTTTCAAATTTACAAAGGGGAAACCATTTTGGAGAGAAAAGTTGAAAGCAGCTGAGCAAGACAGAAGCAGACAGTGATTTGGGAGAATGGGAGTTAAAGGTGTGGGGGGTTGAGAAACATCAAGAGATGGACAAGTAATAGTATCCAAAACTGGACGGAGAGAATGATTGGTGTAGATCCACTGATTGGTGTAGATCCACTGCAGATAACATTCATTGTTGAGATAGCACATATTTAAATTGAATGATGTTGATAGTATTGAATAAAGCAATGACCTGAAAGTCTCTTTTATCTAGCGAGTTCTGCAGCCCTCTGTGTTTTTTTCTCCAGCCCTATGGGTTTTCATACTGACTGCATATTCAGTGCTTTGTATTAATGTTCACAAACGTGTGCTTCTGCCTCGTTTTCTGAAAACTGTACCCTCCATCTCTGTTTTCTCCAGGCCACTATGGCATTTAACGTGGCCAAAATACCTCAGCTTTCAGGACAGAATGCTGTACTAATGACCATAATCAGCTGTAGTCATATCATATTTTCTTTAATGCTGTCCCGGTGGATCTTTGGGATCACCATTAACCAACAGTCAGACAAGCACAAGACTAGCAGGAACATCACAGCAGAAATCTCAGCCTAATATCTGAGCTCTGGCCACTGTTTGAGATGTTCATTTAATGGACATGTGGCAGGCAAGAAAGTTGTATTGTATTGACAAATTGTGTGAGAAAGATTTGACACTTCAGTTATTTTTTTTTATTATTTTTTTAAATTCTAATATTTTTTTTTACTTCAGGAAATAAAGGATACAGAGGATGAGAAAAAGCTACATGAGAAGAAAGGGATGACAATGGTAAAGTTGCTGATTTAAGATGCCAGTTATCGTGATGATGAATAAAATGTGTTGCTAAACTCTTTCATTCGTCATCTGTGGCTTGAGCTGCATAATTCTATGGTGTTGGGTTCCATCCCAGCTGGGAGCAGCAAACTGTCTTACGTAGATTTCAACAGTGGTATCGAGAGCCAACTGTTCAGAGAGCAGTGGCAAACTACTGAACATAAAATTGCCCCAAAAAACTTGGGGGTTGGTTCTGCAAAGTCCTGTAAAGGACATGCAGCAAACTTGTAACTCTTTCTGCCCCATTGGTGCACCACCTGTGATGATTCTTCTTCTTCTTATTTTGTAATCTCACTGATACCAGGTTGTAGCCTAGAGTCTTGGTTTTCTGTATTTGTCTTGTGCTTCTTGGGTGTGATTTGCTATTCTTCATGTGTAATAACCAACCTATATTGTGTGTGGGTACTTCTAATACAGGAGTCTCTGTGGAAAAGCTGTTAAGTGATTTGCTTCCTGCTCTGAAGGCTGCTGGTTAATCTTTAGGCCTTCATCCTTCAGTTTAGAGATGCAGTGTTTCTGAGATCCTTGGGGATTGTAGTTTGATCTAAAGAATTTTAGTGCTTTTGGCAATGCAATAAGACATGACTTTAAAAAAATAATTTTATTGTTTATTGTTCATTACAAGATCATCCTCATTGTATGTCGGGCATATGCATAAGTGCTCAGATCTTTTCCTAAGTATGTTTCTTAGTGTGTTTATGCTGATGACTCCTGTTCTGTGTTGGTTGTTGTAGCGATTGTAAGGTTTTGCATGGTTTTCACATCGCACTACTCCAATTGGTTTTTTGTTATCCTCAGTATATCAGTGTTATTCCATAGTTTTTGTATGTGTAGATTTTACCCCATCCTTTAACTGAATACTCCAAACAGAGACACGTTTCTTCACTTCTTCTATTACATTCATTTGTTACATGAATCCACTTATTCAGTTTGTTAGTATAACTTTTTGCTCAATATGTATATTATTTCAACTACAAGATCACTGCTATAAAGTGCTCACAGTTTGAAAGAGGAAGCTTCCTTGGAAGCCAGAATGCCTCTGCCTGAGAGGCCAGGAACCATCAGTCTGCACACATGTGTGTGCACACAAAACTGAAGTTCTGGAATAATATTAAACTCCAGAAGTGGACAGATAGCCTGAAATTTCCACCAGTTTACAGCCCATCAACGCAAAGAATAAAGACGAGTAGGACAAGAGAAAGCATTTAATCTTTTTTTTTTTTTTTTTTTAAATGGGATACACATGTCAAGGCAGATGTTGTGGTCAAGGCCCTTTGGGAACAAGCAACCAAATCAGTAGAGATAGAAGATTATTATAGCCTAGAGAGAATGAGGCATCTGGGTGTAACCAGAGGGTCTGGCCGGCTCACTACACTCAGAGGAATGGCAAGATGGACATATAACCAGATTGTGACCGGTACCATCAGTACTGGAACTCTGCACTGGCTGCTGAAGATGAGGATGGAGCATACATGGGAATGCCCCAAGTGCTGTGTTGTTAATTTTTAACTCAGCTCAACTCAACAGCAATGGAGTGCATGCATCCCATGAATTATATGTAACCTGCAATTTCTTTTTATAAAATGATGATGCTTTATGTTAATAGAAACTGATTACTGATGTAGGAAAAAATGTCATAGCATGTCACTCATATCCATAGATATTCTGTTTCCCACGACAAATGTTTTTTAGTTGTAGGTGCCTACTGTTGAAGTAGTACACTGGTTGTACACACACACACTGTACTGTTCTTTTTGTACATCCCTTCTTGCTGGATTACATCGGAACTCCAGTTTCATTCAATCTTACACATATTGTTTCATCTAAGATCATATCTTCCATCAGTATTCGTTCATCAAGATCTTCAGAATGTACATCTTGCCCGCAAGATTAATCTGCTCATAGTAGCAGCAGTGGTAGCAGTAGCAGAATAGTAGCAGCAGTGGTAGCAGTAGCAGAATAGTAGCAGCAGTGGTAGCAGTAGCAGAATAGTAGCAGCAGTGGTAGCAGTAGCAGAATAGTAGTAGCAGTGGTAGCAGTAGCAGAATAGTAGCAGCAGTGGTAGCAGTAGCAGAATAGTAGTAGCTGTGGTAGCAGTAGCAGAATAGTAGTAGCTGTGGTAGCAGTAGCAGAATAGTAGCAGCAGTGGTAGCAGTAGCAGAATAGTAGTAGCAGTGGTAGCAGTAGCAGAATAGTAGTAGCTGTGGTAGCAGTAGCAGAATAGTGGCAGCAGTGGTAGCAGTAGCAGAATAGTGGCAGCAGTGGTAGCAGTAGCAGAATAGTAGTAGCTGTGGTAGCAGTAGCAGAATAGTAGTAGCTGTGGTAGCAGTAGCAGAATAGAAGCAGCAGTGGTAGCAGTAGCAGAATAGTAGTAGCTGTGGTAGCAGTAGCAGAATAGTAGCAGCAGTGGTAGCAGTAGCAGAATAGTAGTAGCTGTGGTAGCAGTAGCAGAATAGAAGCAGCAGTGGTAGCAGTAGCAGAATAGTAGCAGCAGTGGTAGCAGTAGCAGAATAGTGGCAGCAGTGGTAGCAGTAGCAGAATAGTAGTAGCTGTGGTAGCAGTAGCAGAATAGTAGTAGCTGTGGTAGCAGTAGCAGAATAGTAGTAGCAGTGGTAGCAGTAGCAGAATAGTAGTAGCTGTGGTAGCAGTAGCAGAATAGTAGTAGCTGTGGTAGCAGTAGCAGAATAGTAGTAGCTGTGGTAGCAGTAGCAGAATAGTAGTAGCAGTGGTAGCAGTAGCAGAATAGTAGCAGCAGTGGTAGCAGTAGCAGAATAGTAGCAGCAGTGGTAGCAGTAGCAGAATAGTAGCAGCAGTGGTAGCAGTAGCAGAATAGTAGCAGCAGTGGTAGCAGTAGCAGAATAGTAGTAGCAGTGGTAGCAGTAGCAGAATAGTAGTAGCTGTGGTAGCAGTAGCAGAATAGTAGTAGCTGTGGTAGCAGTAGCAGAATAGTAGCAGCAGTGGTAGCAGTAGCAGAATAGTAGCAGCAGTGGTAGCAGTAGCAGAATAGTAGTAGCAGTGGTAGCAGTAGCAGAATAGTAGCAGCAGTGGTAGCAGTAGCAGAATAGTAGTAGCTGTGGTAGCAGTAGCAGAATAGTAGCAGCAGTGGTAGCAGTAGCAGAATAGTAGTAGCTGTGGTAGCAGTAGCAGAATAGAAGCAGCAGTGGTAGCAGTAGCAGAATAGTAGCAGCAGTGGTAGCAGTAGCAGAATAGTGGCAGCAGTGGTAGCAGTAGCAGAATAGTAGTAGCTGTGGTAGCAGTAGCAGAATAGTAGCAGCAGTGGTAGCAGTAGCAGAATAGTGGCAGCAGTGGTAGCAGTAGCAGAATAGTAGTAGCTGTGGTAGCAGTAGCAGAATAGTAGTAGCTGTGGTAGCAGTAGCAGAATAGTAGTAGCTATGGTTAGCCGAGTGGTGACAATGTCAGGCTCTTGTGCGGGAGACCCGAGTTCGACCCCTGGTAAGATGAGGACGTTTTTCTGCAGCGGCAAAATTAAACATCCTAACCTGAACAGTCCTTGGTGACAACACTAGCCATGTGGCCCTGAATCCTCAGGCTCACGACTCCCTGTCTACACCGACCTAAACAGACAGCAGTGACAGTTTTTTAGTTGTTGTGGTGCTAGTGGTGGTGGTAGTAATGGTACTCGATGGGTGATGTGGTAAATATTACACTGCTGCATTTACTTCTCATTACAATTCCTGCTATCCATTTTAGTCCTCAAGGGCACGGATGCCAAGGTCAGTTGGGAAAAAATATTGCCTGGTGATGACTTTCAGATCCTTTGGAGAGGACAGAAACTGTTAACTGACAGAGTTTAAACATGATTTAAAATTTTTCATTTTTTTAAATTGTTGATATTTAAAAAAAGCTACTTCAGCTATTCTAATTTTATTTAACGAATGTGTTGGTTATTTAGAAGTACAGTAGTAAGCTTTACTTTCAGACTTTCAGCTATTTTAAAAAAAAAGGGTTCAGCATGTTATGTGATAAACAAATAACCAATTTGTAAATTTTTTTTTCAAGTCCTAATAATACGATTTAAACGACCACTAATATAAAGACACAAATATATCTTGCGCTTTCTATTGTCGGCAAACCATAATATCTCATAAATCTGTGCAGACAATGATTGTGAAATTAACCATATTAGACACGTGTGCTTTCTGTGTTCTTTCTTTTCCATTTAGCCAGATTGAGCCACAGCAACACATGGCCAGGTACAGCTAAATAAATAAATATATATACATTGCAACATATGTTTTAACAGCATTAACTTTCCCTCACGTGACTGGAATCACCATGCTACTGTCAGCTTCTTGAATGGTTTAAAAAAAAATCTGATACCTGTCTATATCTCTAATAACTTGACAATAAACGGATATTTATATCAAATTACGATAACAGGACCCTACATAGGTTATCAGTATTTTACTTGATTATTGTTTTTTTATTCACTGAAATGGGAATATTCAGGTGCCTGTGCATATTTTTATATTCCCAGTTGAAAGATTTGAAACGGCAGCTTCATGCAGAGCGTAAAAGAGCAGAACGATTACAGGCCAAATTACAAGAGCTTTTGTCTGAGGGTAACAGCAAAAGTAAGTGATCGTCAGTAAATCACATTAAGTTAATAGTTTAAGGGAAGGGACAAAATTCTGGTGAAGGTAAAAATCTGTGTCAAAGATTTTGTTTAATGCTGTTATTGTCAGTTTCATTACTTCTGCTGTTTTCTTGTTGTTCAGACTAAGACCTTTTTGTTTTTGCATTACATTTATATGTGTAATTTCTTGTACCTACATTTACCAGTACATTATGAGTTGTTTAAATTTTGCCTGACTACTAATAGTGCACTGTAAAAGTTAAATTGTTTGGCTGATAGTACCGCTTTGTATAATTCCCAGTGTTTCTACAAAGCGGTACTGATTCACAGAGCATGTTGAGAAAGGTGGAGACAGGCATGCTCTGTGCAGAGTGGCAAGCATCAGTTTAGAGGTCCTGGATAGTTAGCATCCTTTGGATATTTTCTCCAGGTGATACCATTGTGTTGGGAAATGAGCAGGCAGGTAGACTGACTGGCTCTGCACCACGTGGTGGTGAATTGATGTATGACAAGCTAGATATTGTGAGAGCCCTATAGGAGCGAGTGAACAGTGCGGAGGCACAGATAGATCATTATGGTTCGAGGAGAATGATGTTGAGAGGAGTTACCAGGGAATCTGCCAGACGCTCAGCACTCAGGGGAAGGGCAGGACAGATATACAGTCAGACAGTTACTTGGGCCATCGGAAGGGATGGAGCACTTATGGGAGTGTCCCAAGTGCTTAGATGTGGATTCCTAATTCAGCATTCAACATTTACTAAAATATGAATGTAATATGATTTCTTAAACTAATTGTGTAATATTCTGTACATATTATTCCCCTAATTTCCTGTGAATATGTCATCCACTGTTGTGAATATTATTGAACAATTTTTGTGTAACACTTCTACAACCAGTTCGCTGGTAGCTTTTATTCCTTTGGCAGTGATGCATTTAGTTCTGGAGAGTTACTTAATTTAAATATGAAACTTCTTGTTTTGTTTTGTTTGACCAACTACTTACTGTTTGCTTTATAATGCCTCATAGAACCTGAATCCCTCCCCTGCCCCCCTCCCCCCACCCTCTTTCCCCACCCACAAGATTGTGTTTTCTCAGCTTCTTAAACATTTTGCACTAATTATTTTTTTTTCTTCTTAAATTATGGTTGACTACTGTTAGTGATGGCCAAGGCCATACAAAGATTAAACAGTCGTACAAATCTGTGGCTTATTATTGATCAACAAATCAAAGTTAAAATTTGGAGAGACTGCATCCTTCATGAAGCAACATATGCATGTGAATCTTTAAGGAAGAACATTGGGGCGTTTAAGCTGAAATGCTAAAGTAAGATTCTTAGAGTACCATGGACCAAGAATAACAGAAATACTGACACCCTAAACATCTGAACATGAAGGAAAATGTGCTCATAAACAGCATTTTGTCTCCGAAACAGGACATAAGAGACACCTTGATTCTGAGTGTATATGAGGGACCAAGCTTCTTTCGGGCAGACTGTGTTGAGAGCAACATGATGATGTTGATGACGACGATGATGATAATGAGTCCTAATGGATAAAGTAGATTATTAATGAACCTCACATAATACTGAGACTGGAATATTTTATATTGCTCTCATTTTTGTTCTTCTTATTTCTGTCAGTTATAATAGAATATTCTCTGCCATCCACTTCTTCTTCCTGTCTCCTTTATTTATGTTTTCTTTTTATCTTTCTGGTTTGTTGCTTATTATTGATATATTAAATAGATTAATGCAACACAATGTGTTTTTCCACCTTACAACAGTGGAAGACTTGTTCCGAACTCCAGACAGTGATATCCAAGCTGGCGATGCTAGGTATGTTTGCCTGTAGTATGTCTGTTTGTCTGTACTTAACTATATGACGTATTGCATCATTAGTGAATATACAGTAGAACCTCTGTTAGTTGACCACCCAAATTACAGAGTGGTCAACATATAAATGAGAGCTATAGTCCTGATACTGTACTTCCTTGAACAGCCTGTATTAGAAATATTGTATGAAATCTTACATAACCACATCATCAAATCAACATCTGTTTAACTCTTTCAGTCGCAGAAGGTCCTAGCTGATGTTTAAGGGAGGCAATAATTACAATTTAGGAAAAATTGGTAAACTGCTTTCACAGGGATTAAATGCCCACCTTTTTATGTGAAACATCCAAATTGTTGGAGTTCTCTATAGTCAGTGACTAAACATAAGATGTAAAAACATACATTACATAGTGATTTGACCCATGAAAATATCTAATCATACATGGTGTGCTGCTTGGGATAAAAAAGAGTTATTGATGGTTTAACATTTTTGTTGTTGCAAAAACAAGAGTCACTCTTGGTTTGTATCTTATTCTTGTTAAAAATGTTTATGGGACGCTGGTGACACCATTCAGCATGCCTGGGAACTTTCCTTAGCAAATGACCTGAACTGTCTTATCAGATTCCTGACAACTTCTTCTTCTGGAGTCCATGAAATTTATGTGTCATTGTCATTTATTTCTTCAACTTCACTAACCGCTTTATGCACTGTTGTGTGGGCCTGTACTTCGGTCAATATTGCATGCAAAATTTCTTTTGGGTCTTGTTTATTACAGGTTACCACCTTGTGGTTCATTGCAATGAAACCTTCAGAATCTATTCCTTTAAATTCTGCCATTGGCAGATGGTGGGTAAAGAATTATGCTCTTAGTTTGTGACAGATCCAGCTTTCTCAAAACACTTCAGTATGGCTAAATTTATTCCAAGAATAACTGACCCAGAAGACAGCATCCATTTCTCAGTCGATGTTCCTTACCCACTCCTCAAATAGGACACCAGTCATTCTTGCAGATTTGTTTTATCTCCAAGTAATGGGGAAGTCTTCGGGTTTCAGGTTCTTGAAAACATATAGCTTTGCCAATTTACCAGTCATCAATGGCTTTAATTTTTCTCTGACTGAGCTAGCGCAAAGCATAACTGTAAAGTGTTCCTTGAAAAGTTTCCCACTTTTGCATTTGTCACCCTCCATGGTTCCTTTCAGGTGTCACCTTGGAGAGGAGTCAGCACTTGTCAGCATTAAAGATATCATCATCTTTGACATTCTTCCTTATATAATCTGCTTTAAAAAAACAGATATTACAACTGCTAAAACTGCATTAAAAAAAAGATGCAGCATATCTCATGATGTTGCTCCATTTTTCTTTTTGAGAATCTCAGCACTTCATTTGGTTCCTTGAGATCAAAATAAGTATGCCAGACTATTGCGTTTTTAAACTGCGACAAAGTACACATACACACCGCTGTCCAGTTGAGCAACATACAACTTACAAAGGTAGTCAACATTTAAAAGTAGTCATCAATTGAGAAAATATGTGTTGATATACATGTTGATCATCTGATCAACGAAGATGAGGTCAACATAGGAAGGTGGTCAACAGAGAGTGGTGGTCAACTTTGGCGGTTCTGTTATACCTACTTTTTCCTTAGTGAGTCATGAGTCATTTTTGTACAGGGTTTTGAGGCAAAGCCTTTCTTTTTTCCTTTCATACAAAATGTTAAGACAGTAAGTATTGAGACTTAGCCTGCCTTATTCCTTTCATTCAAAATGTTAAGACAGTGAGTATTGAGACTTAGCCTGCCTTATTCCTTTCATTCAAAATGTTAGGACAGTGAGTATTGAGACTTAGCCTGCCTTATTCCTTTCATACAAAATGTTAAGACAGTGAGTATTGAGACTTCGCCTACCTTATTCCTTTCATATGGAATGTTAAAACAGTGAACATTGAGTCTTTTTTACAGAGCGTTGAGACTTAATCTCTTAGTCTCCACTATGTGTCATGTAGGTCTTGTAGTCTATTCTTCCTTTCCATTCTGTCATGTGCAGTCCTTTCAGTATAGATGAAACCCTGTCCAATAGGTGGAGACATTTTTTTTGCATTATGTCACTGCCACTTGCGGCCAATCTGTCCCCAATTTCAGTGCTTTCCAAGCAACACTGATGTGGAATCCACTGAAGGACAGGTTCTGTTAAAGAGTACATCATATGTGCTGAATACTCATGTTAATACTGTTTCTTTCAACAGTTCAGTGTCATCATGGGGAGCTAGTGCCAGTGGATTGGGCAGAGATTCAATAGCCAGTGGACCTCAGGTAAAATGGAGACTTGTTTTTTTTCTCTGTTTTTTTATTTTAACATCAGTGTGGTGCATCGGTCATATTTCCTTTTTTTTTTCTTGTTACCTTTGACCAGCTGTACAATGCAGTGGAAAGTTCTTTTTTTGGCCTAGTGCTGGACTTTAGCCTGGTTCCAGAATTTGAGTTTTGCATGCACATCCGTTTTACAGATTTGGCTTATTGATATGCAGACTATAGGTTCCTTGCCTTTCTGGTAGATGCATTCTGACAGCAAATGCAACACTCCTGATTAGTTGCAAATTACAACATGTTTGTTAGGTGGCAGTGGGTCTGTTCTTTCCCACCAAAATGGATCTCAGAATTCACACAGGGAATCATTTGATGTTAGACATATTTTTAGCTTATGTGAATGCCCCAAGTGCTGTGATGTTGGTTCTTGAATGAAATGAAATCAAATCAAATCATTAGACATATTTTTATAGACCAGTCGACACCCGGTAAGTAATATGGTCAGTTTATCACCAGCTGCCTTTACTTCCCAAAACCTTACTTGATACCCACTTTTGGGCCAAGGTTAATTTTGGATTCCAACCCAAAACCTTTGAGCCAGGATTAGGCGTCTGGCCACTGTGCTACTGAAGCTCACAAAATTGAGACAGTGAAAAATTACATTATATTTTCTTACTTTGAATATGCTAGTAGTTAGCTGCAGACAAGAAACACGTATGTCAAGCCCTAAACAGAGCTAAGGGTCGCAGACTGAGGAGACGAAGGTGTTGGATAGCACAAGCTAAAGGCAGAGTTGAACATGTGTGCAGGCTTGATAACTCTAGGAGAGGAGAGAAGTGGGTCATAGTGTCTCAGCAGAAGTCAGACTTGTATAGGGTTCTGGCTGCATATAGCTCTGGGTGCTGGTGCTGGCTGGCAGGTACTGCGAAGTCGGAAGGTCAGCAGGTAATTCATGCAGTTCTTGCCTGGGTGATATGATTATCTATATGGATGGTTCTATTTTAAGAGGCAGACAAATTTCATGGGCATTCGTAGCAAAAGCAAGTGGGCATCGCTTGGTGCAATGGGGCCAGGCATACAACGCTATGGCATCTGGTTTGGGGGGTGTGAGCAGCTCCTGCGGCCTTTCGCTGGCTTGAAAGTCAGCTGTGCACACATATCGAAATTGTTAAGAGTGGCAAGCATAGCTTCAGATGTCCCAGGTAATTAATGTCCTTTGGATTTTTTCTCCATGGTATTCCGGTGTATTGGGAAATGAACAGGCAGTAGACTAGCTGGTTCTGCACAACTTGGTGGTGAATTGACATGCTAGATGTTGTGAGGGCCCTTTGGGGCAGAGTGAACAGTGCGGAGGCACAGATGGATCGTCAGGGTCTAAGTAGAATGGTGCTCTGAGAAGTGACTAGGGGATCTGGCCGACGATCAGCACTCAGAGAAAAGGTGAGGCAGATATACAATCAGATCGTTACTGGTACCATCAGAATTGGCTCTCCGCTTGCCCCTGAAGATGGGGACGGAGCACTTATGGGAATGTCGCAAACGCCGTGATGTCGACTCCTAATAAATAATCAAACATGAACCATCATTGCTAGTTCATGTAACTTAGTGTAGATAAAAAGGTTCAGGTTGAGAGGATGGACTTCATTACACTGGATTTTATGCCATTTGGCTCAGTCTCTCTTTGCAGAAGTGCTAACCATCTGCTGAGAGTATCTTACAAAGCAAGAACACCATAGCTCCGGCGATGATCCCCAAAGGTTTACATGAAAATTTCACTTGTGTACAAAACAAAACAGCCATGAACAAACCCATATCCTTCAGAGAGAGAGGGAAATGAAGATAATTTAGATAGTTGAGTAGTTGCTGTAAACTAATTAAGGAAGGGTAAATTATACTAGAATGTAAAGTGCTTGGTGTGTACATACACTAGATGATAGTGTTGTGACCTGGAGTTAATTCACCTCACTACTACCATGCACAGCCAACAAAGTCTGTGTACACATTTTACACCCTTGGAACTGAGTTTTTTTTTGAGAGAGAGAGAGAGAGAGAGAGAGAGATAATATTTTTGTTCAGATACATTAAATACACATAACCCCCCCCCCTCCCCCCCAAAAAAAAAACCTTGTGGGTTACATGGCCCTATTGGGGACAAGTAAAGTGAGTAAAGTAAAGGACCCTTTTCCTCACCTTCAGGCATATTGGGCATATAGGGCTCATCATCATCATCAGGTGCCCTGCCGACTGGCGTGGGCGATCATGTCTCTCCATAATCTGCGATCTCCTGCAGCATGTATCAGTTCGTGTGCCAACACACCTCCATGCCATGCAACAAGACTGTCAAGCATTTTCTGTCGTTGTCTTCCTCTATCTCTCCTTCCACATATCTTTCCAGTGGTCACAACATGTTCTATTTTCCCTATTCTCATAACATGGCCGAAAAATGATGACTGTCTCCTTCTGATGTCTGTGATAAGTTGTCTTCAGGCTCCCGCCTCTTTCAAAACCTCTTGGTTGCTCTTTTTGGCTGTCCGAGGTATTCTAAGCATTCTTCTGTAAAACCACATCTCTGAGGCCTCCAGAAATTGTTTGGCCTGCCTACCGATTGTCCAGGATTCACAGCCATATGTTAAAACTGGATGTATGTAGCAAGCAAGAATTCTTTTTCCAACTCTCAATGACAAGTATATATTGCACAAGATGTTTTTTATTTTATAAAATGCAGTTTTTGCCTGTCCTATTCTTTTTCTTATCTCAGTTATGCATCTTCCAGCTGATGTATCCATGTGCCCAGATACTTACATTTCTGTACTTGTCCTAAAATAACACCATCAACTTTTATTACACACTTAGGAATAATTTGTTTCTTTGATACCACCATTACTTCTGTCTTCCCATTATTTAAACTGAGGCCCATTCTTCCACTTTCTTCCACAATGTCTATCATTTCCTCTATATCTAGAAGCCTTTCTACCATCCGCCACCTGGTGGACGCGCCTAGTAGTAGGACAGGCTCCTACCCCATTTTACAGACCAACTGGTACTTGATAGGGGATGTGGTCCACATCACACTAACCACCTTTACTTCCCAAGATTACTGCCCCTTAACAAGCAAAAGATGACTAATTAAGGGTTTGCTGAAATGGGATTTGTTGACCTGATATTGCAGTCTATTTCTAAACCACAACACCACATGGCAACCACCCTTTCAGTCCCAGGGAACTCATCGTAAGTTCATATGTTTCTACCTAGAAACCCAGTGAACACAAGATGCGGTGATAATAGGTTTCTCTGTACTACACCTTGGGCCTCAGATGCAAAGAATTTGTAATTGCTGTTCTGATATTCACAGTTCACTACTGAATAGAACAACATCTGTTGCCTAAGCATATATTTTTGAGTGGCTAGACAAGAAGCACACCAGATGTACAAGTGCCCTCATTATTCAACACAGAACTGGTGCACTAGTTGCTGTACAATGATTGATTTATTGCTGATGATATGATCTGAGCACCTGTTGACACATTTGAAGTGCAGGGATGATTAAGGATGCTAAGCTGAGCTGAACAAAAACCACTTTACCACAGCTGTCCATATATTCTGTGTAGCAGATGATTAGGAGTGAATATAATGATGTAAATATTTGAAGTCAGTTTAAGTAAAGCGGGTTTTTGCACATCATTGAACCATTTCACTTATAGAGCCAGACACTTATTCTCAGAGATAAGTTGAGACTCAGTGGATAATATGCGAACATCACACCAACTCATTAAGTGTTGTAATCATCATCCTGTTGTGCAATTATATACAATATTGCGCTTACGGTACATTCTTCCATTCTGTTCTATCCTTTGGAATCCCTTTGATATTATAGGTGAAACCCAGTCCAACATCTTTGGCCTCTGTCATCAATGTTCTTTAAGTGGTTCTGCATTATTTATAACTGAGTTGCTATGTAATGGCTTAGAAAGTAGCTGCTAATGATGCACTTACGGCCACACATTGATGTATGCACATGATGGATACAAAATGATACATTGATGGGTGCACATGAAGGATAATAATTGATACATTGATGGGTGCACATGAAAGATAATAAATGATACATTGACGGGTGCACATGAAGGATAATGAATGATACATTGATGGGTGTCCATGAAAGATAATAAATGATACTTTGATGTAAAGGTGACCAGCATGATGCTGACAACATCATCCACCAGGTGCTGATTAAGTGATAACAATTTGAGTACAGCATTGTATGCCTGTTGTGCCAAATGACTTATAGAGGGTCTTCCTTACATCGATTGATATATATGAAGGAAAGCCAGTCACATGTGATGCATTATTTTATTGGACACTAGCAGGGAAACAAACAACATGATCTTAGAGAATAATAATAACAAGAACAGAAGTTCAGCAAATACCACCCAGGAACGACTACCCATTGTCCATTGTCCACCATCTGTTGAACTCCTGACACTCTGTAATCAAGGACAGTACATTTCAAATTTTTCACATGTAGTCCAATGGCAGAGTGCTAATTTAACTTGAAGCTGCCACAGTTCATTATTTCTTCATCTACTTTCATCCAAGGATATAATTGCGCTGTGCCCTTTTACAGCATGGCTTCTATATTTGAGCCTTTTGGCCGACACATCTGACTTCTGCAGGTATTTGTTGACCGGGTTAGCCTTCCAAGATTAATTATTTGTGTCTAGAACTTTGTAAACAGAAAGATATAATAGTGAACTTTGCCCTGGTACAACAGGCAGTTGTTTTTGAGAGTGGTTGAATTTGTACTTCAGTTGTAAAGGATTCACTTATTTGCTTTCATTGTTACTCTAGCATGCACTGACAAGATACAGCAAAATATGCCAGGCAAAAAATTTTGCAATCTATTGTTTGTGTCTTCTTTATTCGAATGATGATAGTTGTTTTTCTGTTCAATTACACTTGTGTATTGTTCAGTGAATCCGGTGAGTAACATTTTTGATGAGTTATTTTATATTGTGATGTAACTGTTTGCAGTCACCAATGTCTGGCAACAGTGGCTTTGTCAGTGAAGCCAATACTGGGGAGGAGCATGGCGACCTGCTCAAGAGAATAGGAATTCTCCAACAGGAGAAATGGGCTCTGGAAGAAAAGGTGAGAAGTTGTCAGGTTCTTCTTTAGATTATCTTCTTCTTGTTCTGCCTGCCGCTGGTTTTCAGATGAAAAGGCCTTTATGAAGATTATAGTATCGACTTCACCTTCAGTAATTACTTGATTTCTTCAGGAATGCCAAGTAGCCAGGCCTGGTATCTGTCTATCATAATGTATGGCATTTCATTCAGTTTTTGAGTGTATTGTTGCCTCTTATTATATAGCACATTATTCAGACATTGAGTAGAGTATCAAATATAGAGTGAGTATCATTGTATCTGGGAGCTGCTTGTCTGTTACAAATCTAAATCAAGATGGATTTATATTGTATGGTCTAGGGCTTTCAGGATAACCATGCCTGAAGTGGGTACCAGAACATGTCCTGGGAGTTAAAAGGGGCAGATGTGATGTTGACCACATCATCATCTGTTGAGTGCCAGTAGATTTATAAACATAATGAACTAATGCCATACACCTGATGTACATGTGATCTGATAGGAGTTCTTTGTTTTCTTTCTTTTGTGAGAGCTATTCTGTTTTTCCATTACTTAATGTCCATTGATTTTGATACAGTGGTTTTGTTATTTATTTTTAATAATTTTTATTTACCTTGATAATCTGCTGTAAAAAGTGGTTGCTGCTTTCTTGAACATGGATTGATGAAAGCTTTGTATTGTATCAATAGATTTCTTTTATGAGAACATTAAACTGATAGTAGAATGTTTTACCATGAAGCTAAATTAAACTGGCAGTCTGTGTTCATATTAATAGTGGGCTGTCTTTAAAAACAGGTGCAAAATTATAATTATATTTCCCTAGAGGAAAATCCACAATAATGTATTGACAGATTTAGTTTTGTTGTGAACCTTTAACTGAAAGTGGAAATGTCAAAATGATAAATCAAATGTTGATTTGGAATGAAATAAAGTAAATGTTTATAAACATTGACCATTTCATAATTATGAATTATATTTCTGTCATTTATTTTCATGTTATTTGTATTTATCTGAGTTCTTTGACAAGTTTGTATCTTTACCAGTAAACAGGAGCCATGGTAGATTATTGGTTAGATTCTTGGATTATAATTCACACCAGGATAAAATTTTATAATGATCCAAGGTTGTCCCAGCCAAAATTTGGTACCAGGAAATTTCCTAAGAAGTAAAGGCAGCCAGCTTGACTTCGACCCTTACATCCTTTAAGTGCCAGCTGCTCTACATACAAATATGGATCTAGCATCATATGCTCCAGTGGTGTGAAATGGTTCCATTACTTGTTTTAGTGATTAACATACAAAAAACTTCCTTATGTTGGCATATACACATTTTTATTTGCTGACACGTTCTTGTTTAGCTACAAAATTTCGTGCTGACGGCGACACAGGCGGACAGTTTCTTATCAGCTGTCCCTTTAGGTGGCAGAGCACATGGTTTATAACCATGTGCAGTGACACTGGTTCACATCTCCTGACTTTACCTTTTTACCTTTACCTTTGTGGATAATTAAACCTTTATTGATTGAGGATATGTTTTTAAACAAATGGATTTTAAATAAACGTTATTGGTTCATCAATTTGTTTAACTGCGTCACTTTCAAAGGTCAATCATCTTGAGGTCAGTAATGCCTGCATGGCGGAAGACATCCTGAACAAGACATCAATCATAGAACATTATGTGATGGAAAGTCGAACAGGTAGATATTTTCTTGGCAAGTTAACTACCTTTTGATGAAGCTGCTGTAGCACAAGGCTGAATGTGATTGCTTACCAAGACAGTGGTCTGCTGTTCATTCCCAGCAGTTTTCTGACCATTCTCACTGGGGTCAAACTACCCTCATAAATGGACGCTGGATGGATAATGTTCAGAACATGGGAACAAACAAATGAACAAACTTTATTTTTAAATGGTGGAACAATTGGTCACACTGACCCAGCTTACATTAAGCTCTTTTAAACACCCTTCTTTCCCATAGCCATTGTGTTTTATTTGTAAAGATTGTTATTTTATTTAACTATTTAAGAAGAAGTCACTTTCCTCCTATTTAGAAGATGTTTCTATACAGAAGTGTCTCCTTTTTTCCCCCTGGGTCTCTCTCTCGTACTTGCTTCCACTCGTACTCTTCGACCTATGGATCACTAATGTAGACTATCTTCCATCAATGATCACCTTACTCCAAATGATAGTCGACAATGACAATGACCAGTACCAGGTTTGTTCCATCAAATATACAAGAATCAATATGACAATCTAACTTATGCTCTCCAGTCAAGAATCAGTTGCTCTTATGTTTGTGCACACAGCCACGCCACATTTGACACTGACCTACATGCAGTCAGTACCAGCCACAGTTAATCAAACAATACCATTGTCCTCAGATATTATTCACCGTAGGTTTACCACAGTTACTTCACAGCCATACAGAAATCAAGTACAACTCCATTTCAAGTTGAACACCGTTTTCATTCTGAACACTCTAATTCCATCCAAACTCTCTGGGGCCCAGTGGCTGACAGACCACCTCATCCGCAGTACCACACGTGAATTGCTCAATTCTGTCTTTTCACCATTTCCCCATGAACGTAGTTCTGAAAGCCATGATTCTCACACTAGGGACTTCCCCAATTCTATCACCCAGTCATACCCTGACGTTATCCCTATTTATATAATTATTACAAATGTAATATTAAGTAAACATACAGGAAATAGTCAGCCAGTCAGTTTTTTGTTTTTTATTATTGAGTTAATTTTCACAGGTTATAAACTCTGGTGGAAAACTCTGGTTGTTCATCTACTTCTGGACTTGAGTCTTGTTCTAGAACTTGAGATTTGCCTGCACATCCATTTTACCTATGTGGCTTACTTGTATACAGACTGTTTGGTTATTTGCTTGTCAGGCAGACAGATGCACTCTAAATTTAAATTGGAAGTTCAAATCCCTAATTATTCACTTTTTATGACATGCTTGATGTGGGACAGTGGTTCTTTCTTTCTTTTTAAAAAAAAATTTAAATCCTTAATTAGGGCCGCAATAAAATGGGTCCAAATGCCCTTTTAAGGCTGAATGAGGCAGATGTGAAGAAGAGCACACAATCAAAATATCTGCCTGCTGGCCTTAAATTTGAGGAATATTGTCATCAGAAACTTGCTGGGCAATGAGGACAGTTTCTGATGACAATATTTTGACTCGCTGCAAAATATGTTGAGGGACAGAATAAGATTTTGCAGGGATAGTCAGCATCCTGTTCGTGCTTAATGAATGGACATGATGGATAATGTTTTACTATCTCTCTTGATCACCACAATCTCAGGTTGATACTGTGTTTTTCCTATGCCATGTGATGAAGCTATCTAAGTTTTTGTCTCCTACTTTCCCTTTTTCTTATTCACCATCACATTTTCCAGTTTTTTAGTTCTCCCCCCCCCCCCCTCCCCACAACAACATTGCATTTAATTTCTCTGAAGAGTTTACAGTTTTCATTCATTTTTTGTGTGGTGAGAATGCAAAGAAAGTATTATCTATTTTGAAGGGAGCTCATCAGTTTTAATTACGATGAAAAGTTGCTGATTTTGGTCAGATAATTCCAAAATTTCTGCCTAGTTAACAAAGATACTGTATAGAGAATTTGTGATGTACATCATTCACTTTAGGCCCTAAACATCAAAGTTCTCATGAGGAGAAGCTCAGTCTCAAGAAAGTGATGGATCTAGTAAACAGGGGCAGTGATCATGCGCAGCAGACGCAAGACATGAACAAAAAGCTGCAAGCCATGCTGGAGGAGACCCTTACCAAGAATATGCATTTACAGCAGGTATGTTTTTTAAAATTTGTTTTCACAGCGAGTCGGCCAAGCCATTTGCCTCTGAAGGTCCGGGGTGGAGGGGGATTTATTTCACAACTGTGTCGTTTGGTTCACAAGTGAAATTCGCTAACATTTTACATTCGGCCAACGGTAGATTATTGAAGTTTTGGGAAGCTTGGACTATCAATAATATTAATCCAGATTTACGCAGACAGAAAGACATGCTTTTCACCATGGTGAAACAGAGTTTGTGAATGTAGTCGATTTTGTGTTCAGTTCGAAGGATTCATTTATTTGCTTCATGTTAATCAATTGTTACTGTAGTGTGCACCTGACGAGATACAGCAAAATATGCCAGGCAATAAATTGTGCAATCTGTTGTTTGTGTCTTCTTTGTTCAAATTGTAATTATGATTTCCTTCTGCTACAGCAAACTGTTCAAGCAGTTTTTCTCTTAATCTCTTCAAGGCATCCTTTCTCTGGTATAATAACAGATCCCTCTTCTTCTTTGTGTTCACTCCAGTGGAAAGTTGTGGTTGTTCATCAACTTCTGGACCTCTCTCTTGTTATAGAACTTGAGATTTGTGTGCACGTTTGTTTTACATATCTTGCTTATTTTTTGTGCAGACCGTTGGTTCCTAACCTTTTAAGCAAATGAGTTATGACTTCAGAGGAAACAAAATAATTAGTCAGGTTGTTTGACATCTTGTTGGGGAAGAGGGGCAGTGAGTCCAATCCCCCCCTCCCCCCCACCACCCCGCTATCCTCAAATGGGGCATTGGAATCCAGACTGATCCAGTGTTAAAAGATTTCACCTATCCGGATAACTTACAGGTTTGAGCCATATAATTATCCAGCATGGATTATACCAGTTCTGCCCATGCTTCTTCCCACTTCTATTAAGACTTCTTGCTAAGACTTAGTACCATGTAAGATGTGAAGTTTGCTTTTTATGAACCATGCTTTACCTGTTTCACAATCAGCATCTAGAATTGATGTCTCAAGAGGTTGTCCGACTCAGCAAGCTTTCTGCTCCAGCAATAGCTAGAGCACCTCCAGACAGATCAGCCAAGGAGGCAACACCTCCTACATCCTTACCTCTAGCAGCAACTACAGCAGCTTCCCTGCCCAGCCAAATCCCGAACAACGACAGCAGCAGTGATCGAGACAGCAGTGTAGCTTCGGAAGAGAACTTTGAGGTCATTTCAAACCTACCAGTTAATGATGATCCTGTCATAATAGATGGTGATAATATAGATTTTCAGTCTTGATGCATTTTATTCCAGGTCATAAGCAGTGATTGTTATCATCATCATCATTATCATCATCATTATCATCATCATTATCATCATCATCATCATCCTCTTCATCAATTATGCTCATTCGTGAGCATGTTGCCATCACTCCAGTTGGTTCCCTTTGAAGCAGTACTCTTCTTCTGCATGTTTACTGACTGAATTAACTGCGATGGAAAGTCTTGGTTGTTCATCCACTTCTGGACTTGGGTCTTGTTCTGAGACTTGAGTTTGGCATGCACATCCCTTTAACAGATCTGGCTTATTTGTATGCTCACTGTTTGTTCCTTGCCTCTCGGACAGATGCACTCCATCTTCAAAAGAAATGGTAATCATGCCTGCATTGGCCAAGCCTCTGGTTGGAGGACCTGTTTCTAGGATGACCATGAGGAGTTGTAGATAATTCTTGACCATTATGATCCCTGGTCTTGCTACACCACACTGTGTGATTCAGTGCCGTGTTGGTGATTTCATTGTAATTTGAGTGATAGGCAGGGGTATATCAAAAGTAAAAACCAATGGAAGATGTCTGCATTGATTGTAGAAAGTAACCAAGTGATTCATTGAACCTGAGAGATTGGGTTTTATAGAAGAATGCATAAAGCTTCTTGGACAGCCAAACTGAGAGTAACCAAATAATCTAGGTGTTTTGAAAGATGCTAAAAGACAACTTGTCATAAACATCAGAAAAGTAACATCATCATTTGGGAGAAGAAACAAAAAAGTGGTGGGGGGGGGGGGGGGGGGGGGGGGCATGTGTGCAAAATGAAAACTGGAACATGTAACAAATGGAAAGAGTTATGGAAAGAGACATAGAGGATGGCAGCAAGAAAAGATTCTTAACAGTCTTTAGTCATGGCATGGAGGGGTGTCAGCACACACTGACTGACTGATATTGTTGGAGGTTACAAGATGGGAAGAGAAGCTTGAATGCCTGTGCTAGTCACCCAGGAAAATTGTTGATGATGTTGATGGTGATAATTATGTGGAAATGAAATTCTCTGAACTTTCCTAACACATCAGATGCTCATTATGTTTGTATAAATTATTGTCATGTACAGCTCTTGAGATTTGTGTCATATTTCATCATATTCAATTTTGTGTTTGTACATATACTCAATTAATGATACAGACCTGACATAGTGCTGTCTCTTTTTTTTAGGAATAGTAGGATGCAAAACAAAACAAAAAACAAAACAAAAATACCCCTTTCATGCCATTGGTATATTGGGCCTCTGGAATGAAGTAGTTGGTCCTCAGACGCTGATTTGGTCAACATTACACAAGCCACTTTTGCTTCTCGGGACACTTTATAGCATCCATATGATAATATATATCTTTTTCTCTTCTTCTTCTATCGTCTTACTGGTACCAGGTTGTAGCCCAGTGTTGTGGTTTTCTGTATTTGGCTTGCGTTTCTCGGGTGGCTTGGGTGATTGATTTGTCATCTTTTTTACAGGTTTCAGCCACACCATTTCTGTTTCCCTTTCTGTGTCTTAATATTAACTTCCTCGCAGATATTATGCTGTGAAAAGTCTCATATGCAGTTTTGTCTGGCTGCATTCTCACTAGATGGCCAAACCATTTCATTCTTTGTCTGTCAGTATAATTATGACCCAGTCTTATTCTAACTTTGTCTCTTGATTCTGGTGTTTATAGCCCTGTCCCTTCTTGTTTTGTTAATGACCTTGTGGAGACAGCGCATTTCACATGTAATTATTGTCTGTTCTAGTGCCCTGTTCATTGCCCATGTTTGGCACTGATAATATAATATATACATATAAATTTGGGAAAAGGGGGGGGGGGGGGGAATAATCAAGATTACTGTTGTAAGGGCATTGATAGTCAGTTTTGCTAGTGTCCATGTTAAAGGTAAGAGTATTATCATTGATTTCTTCAAAAGTAATCAGGAGTAGTAATGTATTGGCTTTATATTAACCCCCTGGTTTGAAGGTCTTGGGTTTAAATACGCACTGGGTGGATTTGATCTTTAAAAAATAAAATACCTCTGCTTCCAGGTTGACCCAGTCCAAAAAGGAGTACCAGGGTATGTTCTAGGAACTACAGGTGGCTGGCATAATTTTGACCACATCACCTATCAAGGGCTGGCTGGTCATCGAAAATATGAGCCTAGCAACAAATGCCTATGCACCCCTGGTGGGAAAATGGCCCCTTAGTTTACTCGTGAAACCTCTTTGTGTTTATATCTCTCTACAGAGATCATTTTTTGGGGCGGTGTTAAATATGCCTTTGTGTAAAAAAAAATTGTATTGATTGATATATATGTTATTATTTAACTGATTCTGCCTTAGGTTTGGCATTTTCATTTAATTACAGAAGATATTAAATTAACTACTTTACTAGTTCTGCACCACAGAACTTACCTTTTGTTCTTGGTTTACTCTTAAATAATGTGATTTTTCTGAAACCTTTCTTCCTCTTTAAAATTTTTTTTTTCAACCTATTAAATATAGAGTGACTCATACAGGTACACTATGACCTCTATCAGTGAGGCTTATGGGATATTTTGCCATGTGCTTGGCATTAAAAGAGCCATCTGGTAGCCCCCTTCTATTTTTCGTTACTTTATTCATATCCTGTATTCATATCTGGCCTGATATCACTGCAGGTGCATGTAGAACTAATGGAAATTAAATATGCTTTTTTTGAGAACAAGTCACTGCAGACAGGCTGTTAAATTGGCATTTAAGGGACTTTGTCACACCTGGAAGTGACTAGATTTGGTCAACAGGGTTAACTTGATAATCCACTGTGCATTTATATGTTTAGTTTCTCCTCTGATGTCTGCTAATTTTCCTAGCCCTCTGACAATTTTCTGGGCGTTTAAAAAGCCTTCTTGGGTCTGAAAATTCACTGAGAGTAGAGCAGAAGAAGGTAAGAAAAAGAAAGTAAACATGTTCACACCTTTCGGATATTCGCCATATACATTTTAGACCTCTATTTTTATAGACCCATCAATGAGGGAATTTGTTCAATATCATGTCGGTCACTTTTACTACAAAGGATTTTGCCTGGTACCCATTTAATTTAGGCTGGACAACTGGATAGCTAAGGTCAGTTGAAAAAAAAAAAGAGACTGCTTAGCTGCAGAATTAAACCCTAAACCTTCTAGGTGTATAGGGCAAATAGGGCTAGACCTATATTTTTATAGACCAATCGGCACAAGATGGATGATGTAGTCAGCATCACGCTGGCCGCCTTTACTTCCCAGAACAGCACCTGGTACCCACTCAAAGCTAGGTGGAAGTCAAGGTAATTTTTTTTAAGTCAGGCTCCACCAGGGAGCAAACCCACAAGCTTCTGATTCGCACACAAGCGTCAAGCTGCTAGGCCACAGCGACTCCCAAAGCCGACATATTCCTTATGTTGACCTAATCTTTTCTTGAAATGTGGTGAATTTTGTATCCCCATTTAGGGGTAAAAAAAAAAAAAGAATAGAGCAACTGCCCCCTAACTAACTTGTCATGCAAGGTAAACTAGTGAAGGGTTTTTCCAAGCGGAGTGCATTAGCCTGAGAGGCAAGAAACCAACAGTATGCATACAATTAAGCCAGATCTGTAAAACAGATGCCCACTCATTAATCAAGTCCTGTAACAAGACCAGAGTTCAGCAGTGGACAACCAACATTAACTTTTTGCCAAAGCTCACAATGGATGACCAACCAGAACTTTCCACCAAAGTTGACAGTGGACAAACACCAACAAGAAGAAGAAGATGCTGGTCAACTGACATATTTTGTAAGCCCTCTGATGCGCAGACTTTGGTTCTTTTCTGCTTTTTCACCCATTCTCAGGGGCTGTGAGATTTGGTAGGGAATTAGGGAATATCCTATATTAGGATATTAGGGGGGTTGGGATGAGGTTAGTTTCTTCTTCTTCTTTCATTCACCAAAATATATTATCTGTATCTACATTGTTGTCTCTAGAATGCAAGTTTACTGTCTTGTGTAATTCACTCAGAAACTCAGAAAATTTGGCTTGAACCAGAGCCCTGAAGAGGGCGATATTATGGTAGCAGCGTGGTAGGGCCCTGAAAAGGACAGACAGCCTCCATATATGTATACTTGTGGGTTAGAGTTAGTGTTAGCACTAGGTGCAGTGATGCTGAAAGGGCAAAGAAATTCATGGCGAAAGTGAAGTCACTAAGTAAGAACACTGCTTCCAGAAAGGGCACTGCGGGGGCGACGAAGAACAAAAGTAACACACCGGACACGTTGACACAATAAACGATGATAACAGTGAAAACAGCCAACATGTGACACCCCTAGAATATACAAGTTTTAATCTTTTAGGGTTAGTGTTGAATGAACACTGACCCTAACTATCCCCCTCCCCCCTTCCAAACTATAAGATGTTTTGGAAAACTCCATACGAATTCCCTAAGCAGTCTTGGAATCATCAAAATGGGGTGAAAAAGCAGAAAAGAACCCTGACTTCTAGCCGTATCTGATGTGGCATCATGTATACCATGTTTTGCTGTTGTCAACAGAATACTCTTATTGATCTTGAGCAGCTAATTTATGAAATGGCATTTTCTCTGGTTCTCCAGCAAGATGGAGAGTTTACATTAGTGATGTTTGTTTGGTGATGTGGGAACATTTGTTACAGAGAATGCTTGTTATTTTATTGTGTTCTTGATGACTCAGCTGAGAATTAAATCTTAGTGAAAGCATTTAACTTGGTCAGTACCAAAGAGAAGAGAGCTGTGCCAGCACAGTGGCTAGTTGTTTTAACTGCTTCAGCACCAGGCGGATATTATTTGACCTGTTCTGTCCTAGAATGTTATTACTTAAACTCTTGAACTGATACATTTTTGTTAGAATGAGTTAAAATAATAACACTGTGAGTAGATTATGGTGGCCTGGAGAGAACTGTGGTGGAAGGTACAGTCTCAGGAAAGTGAGGCAGAGTTAGACATCCGTGAACGTAAAACATTCTGTTCTGGAAAAGCTGATA